GCTGTTTCTGATTTGAGCAAGGCACATGAAATTTCTCCTGATGATGAAACTATTGCAGATGTTTTATCGTGAGCTCTCGTCCTCACTATTTCATGTGACTTGTCTAATTCAATTTGCCTACCAGTCTTTATACGGCTTAGATAGAGAAATTGCTCACCATTCCAGTTTTTATTTATTTATTTATTTTTAGTCTGATATATTCTGTGGAACTAATTGTTGCCACAGGGATGCCAAGAAAATATTGGAACAAGATGGGAAGAATGTTTCAAAAGGTATGTCCTTTTTGCTCATTCAGTATATTCTTTGGTCGGATATATTCTGTAGCTTGACAGTGGTGGGATGAAAAATTACGTAGAAATTGAATTTGACATTACATTTCTAACTCATTTCGTAGGAATTGTCATTGAAGAGATAGTTGAAGAAGACTACCCTGCATCTACAAATATTTCTGCCTCACGACCACAAGAAGTCGTTGACAATTCTAAGACTGATGATGCCTACAAGAAGAGTATAAACTCCGAGAGTTTGCAGGGGTTGAAAGATGATCCAGAAGCTATCAGGTCTGCATGCTTTATTTGGGATTTTTCAACTTAATTGTTTGATAGTAGGTGTTCAGTGAATCATTGAAGTTGTTGAGCTTGGCATCTTTCTCTGTCTCTTCTCTCTTTTTTTAAAACTATGTTTCGTTAGTATTAATAGGCGTTGAACTTTATTATCTCGTACATGTTCTATTTTTGCCCTTTTCTGGGAAATTTGGAAAAGCAGGACAAACTTTTTGTGCGCCCGTAAGACCAATGTCTCAATTTGGACTTTGAGCACCAAAGAGTTCAGTTATTGGCTTCTTTTTGAGGCTGTCGTCGTTCTTCCCCCTTTCCTTCTTCAACCCCCCGCCCCTTTATATTAAAAAATTGTAGTGCATTTTTTTTCAATAGGTCCCTGAATGTTTATGAGAATTTTGTCTATTCAAGTTCTATCACTTTCTTCTGACCTTTTTCTTATTTTGGAAATGGAACAAGATTTTCAGCTGGAGAGTGTTATTAATTATCGACCAGTGTTTTTATTCTCCTAATTTTTTTTTTGTAGATCATTTCAGAGATTTGTTTCAAATGCTGATCCCGATACTTTAGCTGCTTTGAGTGTTGGAAAACTTGGAGAGATATCTCCAGACATGGTTGCCACTGCCTCAAATATGATCAGCAAGATGTCTCCAAATGAGCTTCAAGAAATACTTAAATTGGCTTCTTCTTTCCAAGAGGCGAACTCCCTTAAGGGTGACGGTTTAGGTCTAAATTTAGATAGTGCAAACATGACTCCCGAGTTACTCAGTTCAGCAAGTCGTATAATGAGTAATATGCCACCTGAAGACCTACAAAGGATGTTTGAAACTGCATCGTCTTTGAAGAGGAATGACTCTGCTTCTGGAAATGACAATGTACCAGATTCTGATACACGATCAAAATCTTTCGAGAATGAACAATCCAGTATCAGTGGAATTAGTACTATGAACAACACTAGTTCTTATGGATCGTTTTCAAATTTAGGAAGAAATTCTTCTAACTCAACTATTCCAACGTCTTCTGCTGATATGCAAGAACAAGTGAGAAATCAAATGAAAAATCCAGCCATGCAGCAGGTTTGTAAATCTTACTATAAGCGATATAATGAGTGAATAGAAAACTTTTTTTTCTTTTCTTTTCTTTTTTTTTTTTTAAACTTTTTGATGCGTTTGACCATGATGCATGGAGTCACACATGTTCTTCTAGTATTTTTTNTTTTTTTTTTTTTTTTTTTTTTTTTTTTTTTTTTTTTTTTTTTTTTTTTTTTTTAAGGCGAGGTGAGATGCTCTCTCACTTTTGGTGATGCTCAAGGCATTGTGTGCCACCCTTGCCCGCATGGTGGCCATGAGGTGACGCATTTACTTCAAAGTGCGTTGCAGTTGCAAATTTCCTTCTGTATGTTCCATATAATAATGAATAGCCAATTGCCATAGGAAGAGGAGGCTTTGAATGAGGTTCCTGTGTTCTCTTTGGTTTTTACAAGGGAATAGGGAGGAGGGAATTTAAGTTTTAAAATATGACTGAAGTCCTAGAATACATACATATGTAAGGGATAACATCTCCGATGCATTTTGGGTGAAATCAAAAGCAAATTTATGAGGGCTTATGGCCACTGTCGTACCACTGTGAGAATTATTGGAGAGGTCTCTCGTTTATTCTTGTTAAAATTAAGTCAAGTTTTATCTGCGTTGCCTTCTCTTCAAACAATGAGCCTTTATCTTTGAATAAAAATAGAGAGTGAATTTTGTAGGATGTGATAAGATTACCTAGTTGCCTTTGTTGTATAATATAGTACGTGCTGTTAGAAGCTTCGATGTTCCCTTGAGAGTTCATAGATATACTTTGCTCGCTCTTAATTACTGGTTTTGTGTAATCTGTTAGATGTTCACATCAATGATTAAGAATATGAGTCCAGAGGCGATGGCAAGTATGAGCGAACAATTCGGTCTGAAGATTTCGCCCGAGGATGCAGCAAAAGCTCAGGAAGCTATGTCATCTTTCTCACCCGAGGATTTGGATAAAATGGTAGGTTTTGCGTTGGCTTCTGTTATTCTCGGAAGGAATTCTTCTGTCTTCTCTATGGTTCTGATTTGCTAACTGGTTTACCTAAAATGATGATTGCAGATGCGTTGGGCAGATAAGATTCAAAGAGGCTTTGAAGGTGGAAAGAAGGCAAAGAGTTGGTTACTGGGACGTCCTGGTATGATTTTGGCAATATGCATGCTGATACTGGCAGTAATTCTTCATCGGTTAGGAGTTATAGGCGGTTGAGATTCGCCCTTGCCACCCCCCCCCCCCCCCCCCCCCGTCTGCAGTAGAATTATGGAAATATTAACAATTTTGTTCCCCCGGCCCCCCTCTCGAATGGATAAAGCTACTGGGATTAGTTATGATTTATGAATTTGATAGTTTATTTTGGGCAAGGCCCCTCGAATGGATAAAGGTTTGGGCAATTCTTGAACACCAAAAATGGACTCTTTTTTATAGTTTATTTAGGCACGTATAAGGTAGTGGACAAAAGAATCATGTATGTGATTCTGATATTATTAGAATATATTAGGGAGGGAGGGAGAGAGAGAGAGCGAGAGAGAGAGAGAGCGGTGGAATTTGTATAGAAGAAAATGAGGGAAGCCGAGAAAAAAGACAAAATGATGGGTGGGTGGAGGAGCGAGCATGGACACGGAATTGCTCCACACATTATTATTCAAATTGTATATATATATATAAATTAAGAAGTTGAAGAACTCGAAGGCCACACCCATCCCTCCCCTTCTATTATCTCCAACCAAATCACTCTCGTAAAACCAACGACCTTCAGTTTTGTCCTTATTTTCATTTGTTTATTAAATGATGTCTTCCATTAAAGAGAGAAAATAAGAGCTTGTTTGGAAGATCGAGTGGTGGGTGGAAGACACGTCTGGCGATTGAATTTCATTAAGGACTCCTAAACTTAGCTTCCCATATAAATTACAACAAATACTTCTCCTTCCGATTCATCGCAGCCTCGTCTCTCTTTCTCTCTCAACAACACCGCTATCCTCTTCGTACTTTCTTTCTTTCTCAATTCCCATTCCGCTGAATACTCTCATCCTAAACGCTTTCTTTACGTCAATTAATCCATTGGACCTGCTCAACTCACTATGAATCAGAACGTCCTCCTCCGATCCCCGCCAGAGACTCGCCAGCAACCACTACTGACAGACAAGTCGCCCAACAGACTTAAGGAAAAGCCGCGGTTCGCGGAGCTGGCCGGCGGAACGGCCGCGGAGTGCGCGGCAATATGCTGTTGCTTTCCATGCAGCATGATGAACCTTCTGATATTGACCGTCTACAAGGTTCCAGTGGGGCTCTGCAAAAAGGCGTGGAATAGGAGGGGAAAACGACGTCACATCACGAAGAAAAACAAGGCGGCGGCGGCGGCGACGGCGGGCGGTGCAACTGTAGGTAAGGAGGGGCCGAAACATGATGGTGAAAAGGAGGATTGGGGAGAATCGCTTCCGTCGTCGTATTTGTCATCGGAGGATGTGGAATTGGAGAAGGAGATGTGGGACCAATTTTATGGTACTGGCTTCTGGAGGACACCTTCTCAGAGAGAAACCTAACGGTACAAATTTTGGTTCAAGGAATTTTTTAGGGTTCTATAATCACACAATGGGATCCATGATGATCAAAGATTTTTTCTTTCTTTCGTTCTTTCTTTCTTTGGACTTCTTCCTCCTTTTTTTTCTCTCCACATACATGATATATTCAATTATATGGTTAAGAATTTCTCTTTCACAAATGATAAAAAAGAAATTCATGCTAAAACCATATATTTTCAGAAAATCTAAGATAACCCTAAATCTAACCCCTTCCACTCTCTTCACCACTTTCATTTTTCATTTCCTTTCTTCTATCACTCAAAACCATCAAACACATAAAACCACTTTTTGAAATTCTCCAAAATACAAAATAACTATTTGAATTTCTTACTGCATAAAACCACTTTTGGTGATTAGTTTTGTATTTCAATTTTAAACATTTATTGTAATCTCTTATCTATACCTATACAGATTCATAAACTAATGAAGTTCAATGGATTTACGAGTTACAAAGCCTAAGCCTAAGTTGATGCATTTAATTTTGATGAATTTTTTTTCAGTTGTAACTAAATTATTATATATTTAAATACAACGGTTATAAAGGGCAATGCTAAAGGGTAATAAATAATGATCATAGGGTNAAAAAAAAAAAAAAAAAAAAAAAAAAAAAAAAAAAAAAAAAAAAAAAACATATATATATATATATATATATATATATATATATATATATATAAAACAAAATATAAGGCCCTTGGTGGTTTACCTTCTACAAAAAGTTCCCCCAAATCATACATACAGCCCTCAAGCGTCACCACCGCCCCAATGCGCGCAAGAATCAAATATCTATTCAGAGTTCTCGCCGGCAATTCAAGGTTCCATTGATTCCGGCGACTGCGACGAACTGAAAAATGACGTGGCTTTCGGAGATCTACAATCTAAAATTTGGGCTGTGCATTGGTATTTTCTTTTCTCTAGTAATCTCTGCGATTTTATTTGTTTATGTTTTTTTTTTTTTTTAAAAAAAATAAACATCTCAAAGTTGGGTTGATGAAAGCACCTGTGCGAATTCAAAAATTGTTTTGTCTGCCATCTCCATTCTCTCGTGACGGTTGGTCTTTAGCTTTATCATCATCTCGTCTTCTCTTTTCCGCCAGCTTCTTCCGTCTAACATTGAAGTAAATCTCTTTTCTNCCCCCTTCTTTTCTTCTTCCCATCCTATGTTCACCGTGACCGAGGACATTTTCGGTTGGATTACTGAATTCTTTCTCCGAGCTCCAATGGAGGATCTGCTGAAGAGAGTTCTCGCGGTTTTTCCCCTCCCGGACAAGGACCTCTGCCTGAAGAAAGCAGCGCTTTTACGGGGTATCGTGAGCGAAATGGTTAAACCGAAGGTGTTGTAGTCATGGAATCAATGAATGCTGCATAAGCACCGAAGGTATTTTGATGCAGTTACGAGGATTTGGGATTTGGAGAGAGAGAGTGAGAGAATTGGAGGGATTGGGGAAGAGTGAGTTGGTTTGACTTGAATTGAAAGGATGGAAGGATGAAGTGGAAGCAACACTATTAGTGTTGTTATTTTTGCAGGTATAAGATTAGTGTTGTTATTTTTGCAGGTTTAAGAATAAAAGACATGGAGGTTGCAAAATGGCTATAAATTAGCAATGGAGGAGTTGGGATAATTTTGGAGGGTTTTGTGTTGCCAAGAATCAAGCTGCAAACTCCTTGCATCCCCGGATTCACGTGTTTGTTAAATAATTAGGCTGCTCATCTTGGAACTTGTGAAAGACCATTTACAAGCAATTTGGCAAGCCTCTGTAGAGGTGTGTAAACTTGGAGGAAACACTTCATCGTTCATCAGATGCGGCTTATGACATTTTTTAAGCAAAAAACGAGACACATATCTCACCTTGCTTCCATCGACGCCTCGGAGTTCACAAGAACTGTAAAATAATCGAATAATATACTTCGTGCCGTCCCTTTTCTAGTTTCTAGTTTCTTGTTCTTGTTCGGTCCATTCGTATAAGAAGTTATTGTTGCTATCGGCTGACATAGCCATGGATGCCCAGAAAGCAGTAGACACCCCCCCCACAACCGTTTTGATGCTTCCATGGATCGGCTATGGCCATCTCTCTGCTTATTTGGAGCTGGCCAAAGCTCTCTCAAGGAGGAACTTCCACGTCTACTTCTGTTCAACCCCTGTTAACCTTGACTCCATTAAACCAAACCTAATCCCTCCTCCTTCTTCCATCCAATTTGTGGACCTCCATCTCCCTTCCTCTCCTGAACTTCCTCCCCATCTTCACACAACCAACGGCCTCCCCTCTCACCTTAAACCCACTCTTCACCAAGCCTTCTCAGCGGCTGCACAACACTTCGAGGCAATTTTACAAACACTTTCTCCGCATCTCCTCATTTATGACTCTCTCCAGCCTTGGGCTCCTCGAATTGCTTCCTCCCTCAATATTCCGGCCATTAACTTCAATACCACCGCAGTTTCCATCATTGCCCATGCCCTTCACTCCGTTCACTACCCGGATTCAAAATTCCCATTCTCTGATTTTGTTCTTCACGATTATTGGAAAGCCAAGTACACCACCGCCGATGGAGCCACTTCAGAAAAAATCCGCAGAGGTGCAGAAGCCTTTCTGTATTGCTTGAATGCTTCTTGCGATGTAGTTCTTGTGAATAGCTTCAGAGAGCTGGAGGGGGAATATATGGATTATCTGTCCGTTCTCTTGAAGAAGAAAGTTGTGTCGGTTGGTCCTTTGGTGTACGAACCGAGTGAGGGCGAGGAAGATGAAGAGTATTGGAGGATAAAAAAGTGGCTGGATGAAAAGGAAGCATTGTCGACCGTTTTGGTGTCATTTGGAAGCGAATACTTCCCGTCGAAGGAAGAAATGGAAGAGATAGCACATGGGTTAGAGGAGAGTGAGGCTAACTTCATATGGGTGGTCAGGTTTCCGAAAGGAGAAGAGAGTTGTAGGGGGATTGAAGAGGCATTGCCAAAGGGGTTTGTGGAGAGAGCGGGAGAGAGGGCGATGGTGGTGAAAAAATGGGCGCCTCAGGGGAAGATATTGAAACATGGGAGCATTGGGGGATTTGTGAGTCACTGTGGGTGGAATTCGGTACTGGAGAGCATAAGGTTTGGGGTACCCGTAATAGGAGTTCCCATGCATCTGGACCAGCCCTATAACGCCGGACTTCTGGAAGAAGCTGGGATTGGGGTGGAGGCCAAGCGGGATGCCGACGGAAAAATTCAGAGAGACCAAGTGGCCAGCTTGATCAAACGAGTGGTGGTCGAGAAAACCAGGGAAGACATTTGGAAGACAGTAAGGGAAATGAGGGAGGTTTTGAGGAGAAGAGACGACGACATGATTGATGAGATGGTGGCTGAAATTTCCGTCGTGCTTAAAATATGAGTTTTCTTTGTTTACTTTATAAGATTATTATTATTATTATATTATTATTACTACTACTATTATTATTATTACTGCTGCGTAGTAAATAATGATTTATGTTAATGTGATAGACTAAAGAAAGAAAGTATAGTATTGTCGAATGTGTGATATATTTAAAGAAGAATGGAAGACGCAAAATAGTCAGTAATTAATTAGTATTAAAAATTAAAAGAAAAAAGTAAAAGAATGAAGTGAATTGAGTTAGAAGAAGCTGGTAACTAAAGCACAGAACATGGATGGATGCGACACTTGAGGAGGCCACGTGTTTTCTTATGGTTGGAGAGTATCATGGATTTCCTCTTCTTCCTGCTGCCGCTCCCTTGCAGCATCGCGTCCGCCCGTCTATCCATATCAATAACAACAAAACAACACAAATGCAAACATATTACCCACAACACAAGGCTCTTCTATTTTATTACTTAAACACACGCACACGCACACGCACACGCACACAGACAGAGAGAGAGAGAGAGAGAGAGAGAGACACACACACACACACACACACACACACATATTTACTTTCTTCCTATACTTAACACTTCTTTATTAACCCATTCTCGGACTAAATCATCTGGCTTCCTAAGTCCTAATACCTTCTAACTTTTACATTCCTCTCTCCCGGAAGCCCAAAGTTTGAAACATATTTACACATCCTTGCCCATCAATCAACTACACTTCTACTCATCCGAACTCAATTTAGCATATAAAAAGGATCAGTGAAACAAAATTATTCTCAGGCAAAGGCAAGTTCATCACCAAAAAGATGAAAAAAGGATGTGAAGTTTGGGAACTAAAGACAGCTATAACTTTCCCACAACCAAAATCTTCTGATTCGATCAACCAATTGTTCTAGGTTCATAGCATCATATGTAGAAAGAAATTTTAAAAATTAAAGAAACTACCGACACGAACAGCCATGCCAAACTACAGAAATCATTGCAGCAAAAAAAAAAAAAAAAAAAAGGATACTGAGAGACAGTACCGCAAATAATGGANGCCAAACTACAGAAATCATTGCAAAAAAAAAAAAAAAAAAAAACAGGATACTGAGAGACAGTACCGCAAATAATGGAAACGAGAGACACCCAAACATAGATAGTAAAACAAAATGTCATATCATCAACTTATCTGCCCATATCCCTCTTCCTTTTCAAGCAGATTAAGGAGGTTTAAGGTTTCAGTTGATTGATTCTCACTTGGCCATCATGACTTTGACAAACTCCTCATAGTTGATTTGCCCATCGCCATCCACGTCTGCCTCACGAATCATTTCATCAACTTCCTCGTCTGTCAACTTCTCACCGAGATTTGTCATTACATGCCGAAGCTCGGCTGCAGAAATGAACCCATTCTGATCTTTATCAAACACACGGAAAGCTTCTTTAAGCTCCTCCTCTGAATCGGTATCCTTCATTTTTCTAGCCATCAGATTAAGAAACTCAGGAAAATCGATGGTTCCATTTCCATCAGCATCAACTTCATTGATCATGTCTTGTAACTCAGCTTCTGTTGGGTTCTGGCCCAGTGACCGCATTACAGTCCCCAGTTCCTTGGTGGTGATGCAACCTATAAAAATTTGAAAAGGATAATCATTATTACGAACCATAAGGCGGACTCACCATCTGATTTATCCTAAGCCGAAGCAATAACCATACACTATAACAAAAATTAATGTGTTTCAGAGCTGCAAAATGGAAATTTCAAAGATCATGGATTAACTGAGAATGACATAAAGTTCAATGCATGTAGCTGAAATATGTAGTTAGCATAAATTTCAAGTAACATAAATTATGATTATACACGTAGCAAGTAAATCAACTGCTGCAAGAAAAGAATACAATAGACCTATGCAACATAAATAAAACAAACAAAATGCAACTTATGTAATCAGCGTAAAGCTTGGCATACATTAACAACCAATACATGTTAGCCTTTATTGAGTTAAACAACATGTGGCGATGCAAATTTGTACATCTTACATTTTAGTTGAATATATGTCTTACTTAGTTGAGTTATGCTCATGTTAGTCCAAATACGTGTTAGACTTAAGTTTAATGCTTAATGAATTCAATGAAGCAGGTTATGATAAAGAACCAAGGGGGAAAAAGTAGTGGGTCCTTGGTAGGATATCTCAAAAATGTAGAATTGTATAGAGAAATTTTCTGCGAAAAGGGGTTGGAGTGTGAATGAGAGGATGTATTATTTTGGAAGGATACTTGATTGAGCAGTCAATCTTTACAGTTGAAATTTTGCAGTTGTTCTCAGTGACACAACAGAAAATGTGTTTTATCTTTTGTTTCGAACATGGACTCTAGTTCTTAGAGAACCCAGGATGAAATCAGCTAGAGGATGCAATTGAAGATTTTAGATGTCTAATTGAATAGTGGGTCTTTGGTCTCAATAGAAAATTGAAGAATCTAGAAGGTGATTCATCAAACAAAATTCCAGTCAAATACCTGGCAAAAGCAATTTCTAATTGTCCTATGTAGCAGATTTGGATCAAATCTTGTCAGTAAGTCGAATAGTCCTAGCAAAGTCAATATTTTCATGTGGATGGTGGGTAGAGTACCCAAAAAAAGAAGAAAAAAGTCTAAGGTAGTTGTCTCCTACAGTTCGTGTTCTTCGTTTCTTAGTGGGAGAAGACCAATCTCGTCTGTCCCGCTCAATGTTCCTATAGTTGCAATTGTTGGTAACACCTCTTTGTGCTCATTGTTAACGGTTCCAGGCATTAGGTTCAGTTACCTTACAGACCAACTAAACATATCTAATTTAGCCCATGCTCAACAACTCAGGCTGGCAATAAGTGATACATAGGCAAACTTTAGAAAGAAAGAAAGATTTATATTTAATGGAATACGTAAAACCAATTAATGTTTACGGTATCGTTCCTTAAACCGTAAACCGTCTGAAAACTCAAGAGGTACAGAAACGAAATGATCCACAGGTTATTCCCACTGGCTGACGAGGCGCAGCAGTAATATATCAACTAGAATGCCATACAAAAACGTAGTGAATCACTCTCCAGATTCTAAACTATAATAGAAAACTTATAAAGAACTATCTTCCAACGAAAAATTTCACATCGACATGCCATCCATAATTTCCAAGCTTTCTACCCGCAGAAGAGGTTGATCGTAATATACAATGCAGGAAAACAGAAACGGATCGAAAAAAACCCAGGAACACGAAATAAATAAATAAAAAAAACACATGGAAAGAACAAAACGAAACATTATTATAATCCTCGCAAAACACAATCAACGGCAAAAAAAAAAGAAAAAAAAAAGCTACGATATCCAAAGAGGTATGATAGATAGCAATGGCGATATATAAGAATTCCAGGAGCACAAAAATAGATCTAAAATGGGGGGGGGGGGGGGGGGGNGGGGGGGGTCATGCATCATTAAAAGATAAAGAAGGAGGCGAAATGGAGAAGGGATCTGAAAGAAGCAGACCATCGCCGTCCTTGTCGAACAAACTGAAGGCCTCCTTGAACTCGGAGATCTGATCGTCGGTAAGCTGGTCAGCCATGGAATTCGATGCGGGGAGGAAGGGGGAAACCGAGGAAAATAAGAAGGGAGAGATCCAGGCGAGGCGGAAGTCAGAATGGTAAAATCAGCGAAGGGCATATAAATAGGAGAATCATAAACAAGGAGGAGGTGGTGGATAAATTTAATTGTTTCCTTTTTTTCTTTCTTTCTTTTTTTTTTTGGATAAATTTTCGACAACATTTTTGTATCATCTCATTCATTCAACAAGCATTTTTAGGTTTCCTATTTGAATTTCGACACTTCAACGACTTATATAGTTACATTACACATATATACCTTCTTAAGGAAATACCATATTTTATCTAACTGCCTATGCCAGTTGTAATTTTATCTTTAATGTGATTTTTTTTTATAAAAAAAATACTTGTATAGCCTTTGTGTGTGTATACATACTTAAAATTTAACACAATTAAGGTGAAATATACAATTTTTTTACTTCTGAAAATCTACAACTTTGCAGATGAAATCAAAAGTTATAAGAGGCCTAAATCGACCTAAACGAACATATGAAGAAGTGCGTCAACTGGGTAATGCACGGCACGGCAGGAGACAATCGGTCCAATTGGACCTATCTACCCGACCCAATCCAATCAAATCAATTTTGGTATTTTTGCCCAGTTTTGGATTTCTTTGCCACTAGTTTCTTTCATTTTTGAAGTGGAAACAATTCCCATAATTCTGGAGATAGAGATAGAAAGCGGATATGGGGATTTCAGAGAATGTATGAAATCCATTGTTGTTTGGAGAGTGCTCGTTGTGGGGGAGGGAGATGTGTTGTCTCTTTCATTCATGTGAGTTTAGTGGAGGAGTTGGAGTTGATAGAAACCAAGAAGTGGCATAGAGGTCAGATTGGTTGCCCAACTGAACAACATAATATTGCAAATGCTTTAATGATGACTGCTGTTTCCTTAGGCCTCAACCGTGGTGTGGTGTGTTTGGTCGATTGTCTTCCATTACATTACTATTTCAAACACCAAACGACTTTCTTAATGCTCAGGTGTTCTGAACCCAACTTCTGATCTCATCATGACTTAAATGGACACTTCCAAAAACATATGGGGTTGGAGTTTGAGATATACAGAACAGTTCATTAGACGGGAAGGAGAATTTTGAGGAAATTTGCAGCTGGAACTTCGCACATTTTACCTTCTACGGTTCCTCAATGCTTCCTCCTGATCGCCTCCTATAACAAGCTGCCAAAACATTGGACATCTCATTTCTCGATGGGTTTAGGAACAAGCAATATTTTGCGAACTATTTACTGGTACTACCTGTTAGCACAGTACTAAATTAATTTCATATATCATTTGCAATCAAATATCGCAAGGAAAAATCAAAGAAAAAGCTGATCCGCATACATTAACTTAACGAAACAGCCATTCGAGCTCACAAGCACCCAAGGCTTTTCTCTAACCATTTGTATGGCTAATTATATGAAGAGGATAGAGGATGGAAAAAACTTGAGCATGTTTGATCAAATTACGTACTTCTGTAGACACAAAATGCAGTTGCAATCATATCGTTACTGTTGCCAACCGTATTGTTGGTTCCGGTTTCCACCCATCACATTGGAGCCACGGCCAGTGCCAGAACTACCAGGATATGGACCATTCTGTGGGTAATTTGGAGCTCCCATGCCATAACTACTGCCACCTCCAGCTCCACCTCGAGGACCAGCACCTGACATGTTACCAGACCCATAGGGTGCAGCGCCTCGTCCTTGAGCATATTGATTGTTACCATAACCACCTTGACCACCACGACTTGAATGGTTGTATCCAGAAGGGGGATTTCCACCAGGATACCTACCAGGACCTGGGTGTCCACGAGGCTTTCCAAAATGATGGCTAGGTCCTGCAGTAACTGGTGGTTGAGACCCGTGAATTGGTTGGTTGGGTACCGGTCGCATGTGTGCATGTGCTTGCCCAGACTGCTGAATAGGTGGAAGGCGTGCATGCTGTGGGTGTTGCAACTTCTGTCGCTTTGCATTTTCTTCATGTTGTCGTTGCTGTTGCCGCTTCTTCTTTGTCTGGAACTCGTGTGATGATTCATACTTTGGCAAACTGGATATGAAGAAAACATTTAGATATACATTGAAGATCAAATGGAAATGATGAGGCGTCAAAAAAAACACACACTTACCTCTTGGGGTCACAGGGTAATGGATCCGTCCAAAAGTACTCCGCATCCAGGGCATCCTTGGCAGATATCCTCTATATTTATTGTGAGAAAAGGTATAAGAGTCGAATGCAGATAAAGAAATCCAGAACCTGGATCAACTAATAATAGATACGAGGGGTATAGTATATTGAGTAGAGCATTTTGCAGTCTCTGGATCCCCTACCCCAAATATATATTTACATCCCTATGAAAGATCCTAATCACTCACGTTTCTATGTCTTATTTTGCATTCAGTCTAAAAATGCATATTCCTACCCACGGGTTACGGGAATTATTAAAATACATACCACCGTTTCTTTCTCAGAGATCAGCACCGCAATAAAACTAAACTTCTTTTTAGTAATTTTTTTCTCTTAACCAAGGGGCCTAATAGCCCGGTGCAAGCATTAGTTCCACCCATGCATGCAACCATCGGGGACGGTGCAAGACATCATGCTAAATTGTAAGAGCATGAGTATGTTTGGGATTCATGATTTGCCCCAAAATTATATTGAGCTGGAAGTGGTCAATATCTAGACAAAAAAAGATCGAAAAAAAAAAGGATAGACCAAAGTGATACCTGAGAAGGATCGAGAGTAATCATCTTCTCTAACAGTTCTAAAGCATGACGATCAAAGCTACAAACAACAAAATTATCAAAAGCATAAATGAGAATATAGGTTGATGATATGAATTACAATGCACTAAAAAAGTAAGGCACCAGCTGAACTTACTGCCTGAAAACTTCTCTAATACGTCTCTTCATTGGTCTTGTGGGCTTAAAATTGTTGTACCAAGGGATTTTAGAAACCCCGGGCCAATTGACTTCATCTGGAGCACCACATAGCTCAAAGATCTTATTTAATTGCTCCGGCTACAATAATTAACAAAAAGGCTTAAGGACGCCTGTTTTAACAAACTCATAGAACTCGACAATTCAAGGCTTTTTAACTTTTAAAGCTCGAGGTGCAAAAAAGAGTGAGGGCCCTTTTCAAAGAGGCACTAAATATATATATATATATATATATATATATATATATATATATATATATAGAATACATCATACATAAATCTAATGCAGATGTGAATATACATAAAAATAAACATTCACGATAGTCAAGTGAAACTTATGGGTAAACAAGGTTCAAATTTGACAGAAAGTTTGGGGGAGACGAAGAATGATTGAGATCTAGCAAGAAGCATATATTGTCCTTCAAAATGCATAAATCCTATTTTGAGAAGTGGCAAAGACCTTAAATACAGTCGTTTCACAAAAAATTTCGGCAGACAATTACCAAGTTTACTCTGCTCCAAGAAAACTGCACACTACATCATAAACTTATGGCCATAAAAGGTTTCAAACCATTTATAACCTCGAGAGTCGGGTGATTCCAAAAACGTACATTTAATATGCCACACATAACAGACCGACATAAAATCAAGAAACAAACTACTTTTGACTACAATAAAAAATAGAAGGCCCCAAGTAATTAATTATATTTGATAATTTATAGGTATCTGCAATTTGATTAACAGTTACTTGAAGGTTACTGCACCAGTAAAAATGACCTCATAATTATTTCATTAGTTCAGCAATTGTGGAGTAAGGTTTAAACTATTGGCCTTTTAGAGTGGTAAAAAGTATCTTATTCATTAAGTTATACTCAGGTCGACAAGTAGCTTAAAAAATATTGTTCACGCAAGTGATTGAATTTGAGTCGTGCAGGGTGGAAAAATGTTTCGTATCTTGTTTATCAGTTGGAGTCCAACATTCAAAGTACCATCATGAGGAAATGACAAATTTATTACGAAATTGCAACTCATGCATATGATGTGGACACCACATATAATAATGAAAACATAGGGCAACAAATGTATCAGAATTTAAAGAACAAACTAAAATATATCGCAAATCTAGTCAACTGAAATTTACTTTTGCCCAAACAGAATGAAAATGGACAGTTCAAGACAAGAGAATAGTACAATATGACCGTTTGAACTTGGTGTGAATATAATACAGTTATTCATTTACTTAAACCATAAAAAAAAAAAAAAAAAGCATATTACGACAGTATTGAGTCTCCTCTCTTTTCTTTAAGCATACAAATTGCATAGAAAAGCCCCTACCTCATCCTTCCCAGGGAATATTGGCTTCCCATGCAGAAGCTCTGCAAATATACAACCAACAGACCACATATCTACAGCTGGACCATATTTGGTCGACCCAAGCAGCAATTCAGGAGGTCTGTAAATTAATGATAATCAAAAGTATGTGCAACCAACAAGCTTTCAGTTCAAGGCCACAATTCTAATAATTGAAAGAAGAGTTATGTACATATGAAAAATACAGAGAAATGTAGATGATATGACAAGAACAAGTTTCTGCAAGTTAAATTTGAACTTTTCATGATTAGCAGAGCTATCTACCTGTACCATAAGGTAATGACACGATTTGTTAGATTTGCATTGTGATCGTTAGAAAATGATCGGGCAAGCCCAAAATCTGCAAGCTTCAAATTTCCTTCATTGTCAATAAGCAGATTTGAGCCTGCAGCAAAAACATGAAATCAATTAGCTAGACAGCAAAAAAAGAATAAGAAAGAAGGGAAATCAATAAATAGTGACTTTTAAGTTACCTTTTATATCTCTATGCAGTACTTGATTTACATGACAATAGTGAAGCCCGGTGAGAAGCTGCCTCATGTAACACTGTCCAAAAAAACACACCCACCATGATTCATATATGCCAAAATAGCTATTGATCACAAAAAAGGACATGCATCTTTTTGGTTAGTACCTTGATTTGGGGAACTGAAAATCTCATCCCCGGACGATCAGCAAGACCTGTCAAATCATGATCCATGTACTCGAAAACCATGTAGATACCACCTTTGTACTTGTTACCATCTGCAGATCCAGATAAGCTATAGAATAAGATGAACTCATTCCATGCATTTTATTCTACAATTTAAAAGGGAAAGGTTGCACTGATGCAACTAAATTCTACTAAAATGAAAATGACAGTTGTATGGAATTGAAGCTTAATGCTGCAAATGAAGATAGAGTACATGCCTGGCTTCCCTTGTTCATCCTTCTCAGGACCTGGAAAAACACACCAAAACTTATAAAATTGTTCAAAATGAGGCAAAAAACCCCACAAATCATGTAGTGTAAGTCATAACAAAGCAGGTGACATGTTAAATGATACCTGGAGATGTCACAATTTCTTTCAACTTGATTACATTTTCATGATGGAGTTTCTTCAGAATTTTGATTTCTCGAATGGCAGTAATAGGGAACTACACGGACAAATGAACTGAACGTTACATAACAGAACAAGCTTCAAGCTTAAATACAAGTTTAACACTAACAGAATATTTCCATGGCAGGTACAATTATGTCGTAACAGGCATCGTATGGCTTCAGCTTAAACAGAGTGATCACACAAATTTTTAGAATTTTAAGTCTACAATAACCAGCACTAGCAACTTAAGTATTCTTGTAAAAGGGCAAGGTTAACAACAATGCTTACAAACAAATATGAGATGGTAAAATGATAAAGTGAATAGGAAGCATACCCCCTCCCTCTCATTATCCATCCGTATTTTTTTCAGCGCAACAATTTCACCTGTTTTTAATTCTCTGGCCATGTAAACTTGACTGCAAGCACAAAAGCATGGTAGCACAAATTACTCCATACATTATGAGCAACTAAATTGACATTTAACTATCAACTAGAAATAAACGAACGTCAAATTTGAGCAGAAAAGTAATTAAAATATTCAAATAAATGTGAGGGGAAGTTTTCATATTACCAATACTGTAGTCTGAAGCATGCATACAAATCATATCAAAGTGAGGAACCCACCCTTAGAGGAAATTTTTGCATGCCTATAACATGAGCTATGTCGAAAGTAATATGGACGAGAATGTAGTTGGGGAGCTAGAAGGAGCATCGTTACCCTTAAGTCCACGTGATACTGGTTCGTTGATGGAAAAAAAAAAAAACTTTTTTTTATGAAGGCCCATTATCTATCTACCTGTCTGTCTTAACATTTTATGATTTTCAATATAAGAAATATAGGTTAATAGAGACACCAGAATGTGTAAACAGAAAGATATTAAAGTATCAGTTCAAGTCTGTCACAACATCTTTCCCAACAGGCATTCTTCTCATCTTCTTCGACCAGAAGCATTAATTCAATGAAAATGCAATTCAAAAATATACCCACGCGTGGGAAGCAGACAATTTGACATGAGATACACAAAAGAAAAAAGTTACAAGCTTGAGTTCCGTTGTTTTCATTTCATAACTCGAATTCTGGTACACATGAACTACCGATAAATTCCCATCCACGAAAAGCATAGATGAATATATCATTAAATAAATATAAAAAAATAAGAAAATAAAAATAAAGAAACGAATAAGGCGGAGAAGGGTATAGGCACAAATAGCAGACCCATAAGTGCCTTCACCAATCTGCTCCAGTTTTTCAAAGCAATCGACACTTCTAGATCCCCACGAAGGGGGCTCGTTAACGTTGAGCTGCCCTGGGGCTGTTACAGCCATAGTCTTCCCTTGGACGCGTACTCTCCTTTCCCTGAAAACCCTATTTCCGGATCAAATAATCAGCCATCCGAATGTGACATTAAGCGTAGAAAAGAAGCGATAACGCAAATATTTCCAGCTTAAAATGTAGAGCGAGGAAGTTGAAACCAAAATTTATGAAGAAAAGAAAGTGGGTATGACCTGAATTGGGAATTGGGATTAGGAGTGCAGGGAGCCGCCGGAGAGCTGCAGATTAAAGACGGGATTGAGCAGTTCCGTACGCACCAGATTTCAAAGCATACGTATGAGTGAGGAGAGTGGAGCCCTGTGACAGCCTTGGCACCAAAGATTCACCCTCTGTTTGGAAGCCTCAGAGTGGCGGCGTGAGGTTGCAGCAGAGGGGGATAGAAGCGGAGAAAAGAAAATGGCGGCAAGGAGGGAGATGGGAAACAAGAAAGAAGTCAAAGCGGCTGCAGCAAATATCAGAAAAAGGAGATATCGGAGAAAAATAAAATGCGAAGAGGGAGGGTTTTATTATTATTATTATTATTTAAGTGTTCTATCAAAGAGTTCCCTTATTCTTTAAAAAAAATTAAGGTATTACCCTTATAACTTCAGTAAAATTTAAAACTAGTTTAAAAAATATTCATATAAATTCTTTTAAATTTGGGATATAAATTAGGATTTTAGAGTACTGTAAAATTAAAACTTGAAACAAATATTTTAACAAAAATTTAAAAAAAAAATTGGAAAATTAAATATGGATGTAAATCAAACTCTTAGCTCATTATTTCCCGCGCTCAACTGACAGAGTGGTTCATCGGTTTAGGGATTTGGGAAGTGTCTCTTAGAATTCTGAGAGAGCAATGAGGGCAGAGGTGCTTTAGAAATTTGAGGGTTCTGATAACCGCATAAGGGCTTGGTGGCTTTTTGTTGAATTATTTACTTTTGTTTTGTTGTCGCCGTAGTATTCGTTAACAACAAAAGGAATTGGTATCTCAGGTTGAGAAGCAATTGCACAATATCCAGGTGGAATACCCAACCAACATTGCGCCTCTTCATCTGCAGTTCAAAAATCAGGTTTGTCTTTGATCAATACTGCCTTTTAGAATTGCCCATTCTACTGAAGTGTGATGCCACCATTGTTGTGAGTCCATTATTGTCAAAGTCGGCTCCATATTTGACTGAACTTGCCTTCTCTGCTCTTTTGCCTTGTAAGTAACACTAGTTTCTGTCACCAAGTGATATAAGCCTACTGTGGACCACAACATTCTTCACGTTTGTCATGCTTCTTGGTGGAAATAACTCCTTGGGATGACTTTATGTGAGTGCCATCCTTCTTACATTTGGATTCTGAGAATGGAGTTTCTAGTGTAAGAAGGATGAGTGGCAGTAGGTGCTTGGAATGAGGTACTGTTATTTTAATATAGTTTCATGGACCCTACTCTAAGTTTCTTTTTGATGTCCCGTGTCAAAATTGGCACCTAAATTCAACTTCAGCTGAATGGGTTGTTTTTCAAGCCCTTATACACACATCTGGAATGTAAAGTGCATTACACAGTGTAAGCCAGAAGTAAAAGTTATTCTTACCTCTCATGGACTGTAGCACTAGCAGTAGTTCTCCGTTCTTGTCCTCCATACCTTGAAGAAACGAAACTTGTAGACAAATTTTCATACTACCTCCGTTCATTACTTGCCATAACAGTAGTATCACATTAGTATTTAAGAATGATGTGGGGTCCTTGAAATAAATTATGGTAAAAAAAATATCGATCGAAGTTGTGATCAAATAGAATAGAAGATATTGTGCGTAATTACAATCAGATGCTTCTAAACTAAGATGTCTAAATGGTGAAATCAAATTACATCCCTCTGGACAAGTCAAAATAAGAGTGACATGAAAGGAAATCATTATGCTTAAAGAAGTCATAATTGGTAATGAAGCTTTAGATGGTGGGAAAGTGTAAGAGAAGGAAATCAAGAACATGGTTGCCTGTTTGTCTTTTTATATAATGCTGATGCTATCAGAATTGCATTTGTTATTCTGAAGCTGATTCGCAATATGTCAGTTGAAGCTACAACTGCTAGGAATGTAGAGGAAAGTTAGTGTATCTATTTTCAAGTACTTTATTTTTAAAAAGTGATCATTTTGTCCCTCCCTTTTATTTATATAGTTACCTCATTTCTTGAATAATGTACGTTTTCAAGATGAATTAAAAGGACAAAAATTAAAATATAAGGTATTTGGGACCCTCAAAGTGAAGGGATGGGTCCAGAAAAGGACGTAGCATGTGAGAGGATGCTTCGCTATCTTAAATCCCAAGGGCAGATAATGGCCTTAGCTTTGAGATTCCGTGCTTTGCTGTCATTTGTAAAGCCTCTGTTCTAAACCTTTTTCCTTTCTCTTAGAACAGAATCCAACCCAGAGTCCCCATTCAGCGAATATTGTATTCTCACTTTCACTTTCCTTTATTTTATTCCTCTTTCTTCATCTAAAAGGCATTACCATTTTGTTATTTAATATCACTTCTCTTATTATAATTTAACTCAAAACAATAAAATCAAAACTCACAGACATGTCGTATTATTATCTTCTTTATTCTTTTCAATATATAGAAAAGCTTACCATTTTAAGTAGGTCAATGATAAAATTAAAACAAAATGCGAGGGTCTTCCAGAAAATATTCCTACCTTTTTGCATGGACGCAAGTCGTGGTTTCTTCACATTCTTCATTTCTCTGTCCTCCTTGCCGTTTATGCGTCTAACCTTCGTCCTTTTCACTCCTTCTCTCTCTCTCTCTCTGTAAAAACTAGAAACCCCATTTTTTGAAAGGCAATTCTATTTCTTCTACTTGTCTATCGCTTCTCTCTCTGAATGGGATGATTCTACCACGTGGGTCTTCTCCAAAGTCCCAGCTTTTCTTTGCTCCCGTTCATGGCTTTCGTGTCCTCGGGTATGCTCCCTACTGCTAATTCTTCTATTTTCTGTCTTTTATGCTCCTTTTTTTCTTTTGTTTCGCATCATTTGGAGTTCGTTTTAGATTTTTGGATCGGTTCTTGATTCTGTGTCATGATTTTCGATACCAGTGAGAGCTTTCGCATCATTTGAAGTTCGTTTTATCTATTTGCCTGGTTTGCGTTTCCTTTCTATTTGAACTTGCAAATTGGTGGGGTGCCCAATATTCCCAGTCTTCGAGTTTGATATGCTTTTCTGTAGATTTTATTTGCTCCTCTGGATTTTCATTGACTGGATTCAATGTTCTTACATACGGAGTTAAATCCCTTGTGCTGAGGGAAAAAGTATTATTTTTAGTTCTGGTGGCTTTCTCCTGAATCTTCATGGACAGTCATCTCTTCCCTTGATTTTCACCCTTTTAGGCCTCATATCTTCAGTTCGCTAGTGGCTCTCCTTTTCTGTTCAATTCTTTCTTTGTTCATCATGCTTTTCTATGCGACTTTCTGTCCGAATTCTCCTGGATTCTATTTGATTCTCACTCGAACTGCTTGCTGTCCATGTTCTGGATGTTAGAGCAGCTTTCGTAACATTTTAGTTGAGGGCGGCGAGTATGTTTTGCACTGTTTTCTCAACTCTACTAGTTATTTAGCTTGATTTCTTACTTTATGGAAGGGGTGAATGGTAAATGCTTTAAGAAGGAAGCTCTCCTCTAATTTCTTTTCCATCGTTGGTTCTCTCATTTGCCACCTCCACAGAACATCATCATATCTATCGATTTAAATACATCTTTTCAGATCCTCATGTTTACCCCTCCCAATTCAGTTGTTCTGTTTCTCTCCCTTGCTGGTTAAAAAATCGCTGTTGGCCAATAATGCGGTTTATGTCGCCTAAAATTTTCAGTCCAGAACTCGCATCTTAACCCAAGATTTGTACATTGTACATTCTGTTTTCCAGTGTTTTCTCGGGGTGTTAGTTCTTTTGTACGCTTATCCCCATTACAAAATGTTACCTGCTCACGCTTCCTTTTGGCACGTCCATTTCTTTCATAACTTCGAATCAGCTGACATTAGTGAAAGTATTTTGTCAGCTAAGAGAGCCTCCTTGATTCATTTATAAACACCTTGTTTTAAAATCAGTACTTGTCAAATATCAATATTAGAAATTTCAGGGGAGACTGAGGAGTGTAATTGAATTTAGATTTGGAATGTTCTAATTTCTTAGAAAAAAAAACTTTTTTATTTTACATTTTCTTGATCTGTTGATTTAATGGGGGTGAGTGCGAAGTTTGAGAATTTGGTTGCTAATATCAGTTGGACATCTCAAGAAAATGATTTTGAGGAAAGAACATAGCATCTTTGTGCAGTTAGATTTTATTTGCTGCTTCATGGTTTCTTACCATATTATGCTTGATGTTAATTTTCAGGATGAGTATACTATCCAAGTTCTGTTCTAAGAGGGTTATCCAGCAGTAAGGTCTTCAGATATGGGAGCCTCGAGTTCTAAAGTAGAGGAAGATAAGGCCCTGCGACTATGTCGTGAAAGGAAAAAGCTTGTTAAGCAAGCCCTTCATGGAAGATGCACACTTGCGACAGCCCATGCTGAATACATTCAGTCATTAAGATGTACTGGGACTGCTCTCAAGATATTCGTACAACCTGAAGGTCCAGTAGAATCACCCTTATACCATTCCACTAATGCAACTCCTGAGCCCCTTGCCTTTACTGAGAAATCAGTATCCCAATTCTCATTTTCCTCTCCATCCTTCTCACAACGTGTGGATGCTGTCAGCAATCTTTCTCCGTCACCTTCTCCTCCTACATCAAGTCAGTTTCAGGCAAATCATATGCAATTCAGGGGTAGTATTTCTCACAAGGTTGAAGCAAAATTGCCCTCACCCGTAATTGGAACTATAACTTCATCAGACATTCCACCAAGTACCACACGTCAAACCTTTGAAAGACCTCGAGCACTATCTTTTGAAGGCTCTTCTGCACCTCAGGAAGGAGCTTGGGATTACTTTTTTTCTTCAGATAATCATGAATTTTCTTTTCAAGATGGGAGTGGTGTGAATAATGGAGAGTTTGAATTTGAGAATGCTGGTGGCTTAAAATACTTTAAGGAAGAGGATGGAAATTTTGAAAATGGAGATGGAGAAGAGAAGGGTTCCTTACATGGAGAGGAGGAATCTCAAAACTCGGAGGATGAGTTTGATGAACCTTCTTCAGAAACTCTGGTGCGCAGTTTTGAAAATTTTAACAGGGTATACAATGATGGAGCAGCAAATACCTCTCCTACTATGCATACTGTGAAAACTGTAGCTTCAGAGCCTGAGTTAGTGAATCAGGGGAAGAACCACTCTCCTGGTTTGTCACCTTTAAGAACCACGTCTTCAGTAGTTCCGTTTACATCTGTTTTTGGCAAAGCAACTGCAAAAGAAGATAGTATTGAGAATACAGCTGTTCCCATGGACTTCTTTTCAAGTATGAAAGAAATTGAAATTCTCTTTATAAAAGCTTCTGAATCTGGTAAAGAAGTTCCAAGAATGCTTGAAGCAAATAAGTTGCACATACGTCCAATATTTCCTGGAAAAGAAAGTAATTTCTTACTCTTTCCCTCTCCCTCTTCCTTTGTGTGCACTCGCATTACACTCGATGCTTTTAGCTTAAGGTGAAGTTCTTATATTTGGTTGTAATGCCTTAATTGATAATGTGATGTACCCATACAAGAAAGGTATTGGGATTTACCTTAAGCCTAATGCGGTGATGTTGCTTCATGATTTGGTATGGTTCTTTCATTATTTCAAAGCTGCAGTTAAATTATTTGGAGCAATTGTGTACTGATCAGCTAGGCAGCTGATTTTTAAAATTGTAATTTTTTTAAAGGATCTAGATGTCTTAAAGGATTTTCTCGTGAATATCCTGTTGAAATATTTTAACTGGATTGGTTTTCCTCCGGTGCAGACCAATCATTATCATCGACATTGTTGAAGTCCTGCTTTTCATGTGGAGATGACCCAAGTGTTCTTCGGGAAGGTATAAGCACCTTTGTTGGTTTGATCTTCATACATTGTGAATTAAGTCCGTTTATCAAGTATCTAGTTCTTTGGTTGGTTTGGGAGGTCCAAACTCTCTTTATTAGTTAAGCTCATGAGGTGACATAACTTGTCAGTGTTTATTTGTTGAAATGCCTGAATACCCAATGTTGATGACTTCTAAATATTATTTCAAATGTCTATAACAGTCTGTAACTAAACTTGAATGACATCCATCCTAACTATGCTAGAAGTTACCTGTTTAAGTATGAAGTAAATTAGGATTAATGGAAGTACTCTTCCTTTCCTTGGTTTAGTACATTAATATGAAATGTTTTGGGGGTGTGAGACTCTTTTGCTGTACATAAGTTGATTGGACTCACCAAACATAGGCTATCCAGTATTCCAATTAAGGATGATTAATGCTCAATTCTCTGTATTAAACACTATACCAAATGACAAAGTTCAAAACCTTGACAACGGATGGAAAAACCAAGGAAGGAGGGCTAGAGTAAAAGCCACCTAACAGTTATTGGGAGGTCCAAGGAGCAGAACAGACATGCTGACAGTAAGCTACCCAAACTCAGAAACCAAGAAAAATGTCAACATTTTATAATACAAATTCTCCAGTTCCTAATTAGATGGGATGGCACTGAAAGAAGACAAAAGATCAACCAACTATTTGGTAATTCTCCAAGGAATATTACATCTAATGTACGCAACTACTATGTGAGGAAATGACACTTTTGAGCTTGGCACCAAATAGCCTTTTACCTCACTAAAGCTGAAGATGGAGAGAGAAATCTTCCTCTTCTGTTACCACCTTTGTTTCTCTATCAAATACCTCTTGGTCGATCCACTTTAACCATAGCTATATTAATTTCGTATTTGTTTATCTAGAAAGCATCTTTTGTTTTATGATGTAAGCTGCAAGTTTTGTGGCATTTTCAGGTTTTTTGTAGAATTTCCTTAGAGCCTTGTGTTTATATTTGATATTTTTCTATTTGTTATGGAACCTACTCCTGCATCTCACTCATCCAAAATGTAATTAGGGTTGCATTCTTGTTTCTTTCTTTGCAATTTTGTGGGGCATTTGGTTTTGAGAGGAATAATAGGATCTTTGGAGAGATTAAGAAAACAGGTGGGGAGGTTTGGGTGATGGTTAGGTTTATGCCTCATTTGGCTTGGAGTTCAACTCCTTTTTGGACAGGCTTTTCTTCGTGTACCCTTGTGTGTATATATATATATATATATATATTTCATTTCTCTCACTGAAAATGTGGTTTCTTAAAAAGGAAAAAAAGACGCACACACACGATACACATACATAGATATGTGTATGTGTATCTCATGCCATCTACATACATTACATACAAATAATATATATGTGTGTGTGTGTGTGTGTGTATGTTTGTCTGTCACTCATGGAGAGCTAAGCCAAAAAGGGGCTACTTTTATTACCTCTGAAATTTTGGGTACAAACGGGGAGCTCTAACTTTATATTTATATATAGGTTCAGTTATAGGTGAAGGTTTAGGTTACAAATAAGTACCAAAAGTAAATGATCCTACTAACTAATCCTTAAAACCTAAACAAAATGAAACCAAGACATTTGCAGCTTTAAGTGAGAATTGAAATGCCTTGTCAATAGGACCTTTTTTTTCTTTTTTTCCCACCTTTAATTGAACAAGGACAATTGTGCATCGTCATTTTCTCATTTTTCTTCATTGTTATTTAGAGCATTTTCGGTGACAGGAACGTTATGTTGATTTAGTGCTGAGTTATGTTTATTGGTTCTTACTATGCTTGTTGCTAAACATGATGGGTTGACAAGAACAACTAGCAGTCCTTTTGGCTTAAGTAGTTTTCTTGAATGAGCATATGAATATGTGATGCAATGAAAGCAGCGTTATTTTTCAATGTTCTTCTGTGCCATTGACTTGTATATGTTGAATCAACTTGGGACATACAACTAATTTTCAAACATGCTGGTCTTGTTCCCACGAACTTCATTGAGATGCATATGTAACTCTGTTGAGATATTTTATGAGCCCACATTTCTATATTAATAAGCTGTGACTGGATGATAATTGTAGTCGATATCCAACCTGTTCTCGTGTAACTCTCCACTATGATATCTTCATTAATCAGTTGTCGTTCTTTGTGTTATCTTAGAGCCGGTTCAAACTGCAACGAAGTACTTAACTTGGCATAGGACGGCATCATCACACTCCTCTGCATCCAGAAATCCTTTGGGTGGAAACTCAAAAGAGGATGTTGAGGACCACTCTAGCAACTTATTTGAGAACTTCTGCATGAACTCAGGTAGTCATGCTTCAACCTTGGATAGGCTGTATGCATGGGAAAAGAAGCTCTATGATGAAGTCAAGGTACTGCCGAACTTTTAACCTGTATCATTGATTATCCTTTTAACCATTTCTACTATTTTGTGCATCTTTAGATTTCAGAAATGACGTGTCATGTGAAGGTAAGTTCTTTAACATAGGTTCTGTTTTGTTAATTGCAGGCTAGTGAGATGGTCAGGAAAGAGTACGACCTGAAGTGTAAAGTGCTACGGCATTTAGAATCAAAGGAAGTGGGTCTACCAAAAGTCGATAAAACACGAGCTGTTATCAAGGATCTACATTCAAGAATCAGAGTGGGAGTTCATAGAATAGATTCTATATCAAAGAAGATTGAAGAATTACGGGACAAAGAGCTCCAACCGCAACTTGAGGAGTTGATTGAAGCGTGAGTTTTCTTTTTTGCTACCATCGTGCTTGGTTGGTTTGGCACAAGTTCATTTTAGAATATGCACATTCTTTGTTTGCAACATGTAGATATTATATCTTTACATTTGGAGATAATTAAGTTATCTTGATATGTTGGCATAGTATTTATCTTTAGGTCATAGTTTTGAGGATTCACCACTTTGCACTTTGTGTTTGGACTATGATAGGTTAAGTCGGATGTGGGAAGTGATGTTTGATTGCCACAAGCGTCAACTACAAGTCATCGAAGCAGCGTCCTACCATGGCAACATGGGAATCTCAATGCAGTCTGAAACAAGGAGGCACAATACCATCTATCTTGAAACCGAACTCGCATCTCTATCATCAAGTTTCATGAAGTGGATTGCAGCGCAGAAGTTGTATCTGCAATTGATAGATGGGTGGCTTCGCACATGTGTGTCTCTACCTCAAAAATCAAAGGGAAAAAGAAGAACACAAGCCCCATCCATCAGAACTTATGGACCGCCCCCTATATACATTACATGTAGTGTCTGGTTGGAGAAGATTGACGATTTACCTATGAAGGAGGTCATAGATTCGATAAAGGACTTGGCAACTGAAACCACCCGATTTTTGCCACGCCAAGAGAAAAACTTGGGGAAGGGGAAGGGGAAGGGTAAGGTTGCGAAAAATCTTTCAATCTTAACCTCCTTTAAGGGAGACAATGACAGTGAGTCATTGGGCAATAATTTGTTACAAGACGAAGCGTCAGAGAGGTTGATCTCTGGTTTTGATCATTTCAGGTCGAGGTTGGTTAAGTTTTTTGAAAACTTGAATAACTTTGCAGAGGCTTCTGTGAAAATGTATGCAGAACTTGGGAAGACCATCCAAGATTTCAAGAGTAGTTACGAACAGTGGAAATCCCAGAGACTAGAAAAGTAATCAGGAGTCCAAGTATGAACGAAGAATGCAAAGGTTTTAGAAGCGAGTCAGGAATAGTAGGTCACAGGATTTGTATAATGGAAAACATAATAAAAAAGGCTGTTCTTTTATTACAGAAACTGTAGCAGAAAATAAGGGAGGAGCTGGTATGCAATCAGCACACACATATAAATAGAAAGATAAAGAATGATGTTGTAAGGTGTAACTACGAGTGTTTTACATTACAAGTCAAAATGAGTCAATTTGCAGAGTTACATTAAGCATTGTATAGTTTTATTCCTCCATAAACATAAGGACACATCTTTCACAGGTTCATTCATATGAAAAGCTTATAGCACCATTCGTTCTTATTATATTACTTTATTTATTTTAGAATTTGTTGAACGAGCAATGTAGGATGCATACATATTGATAAAAAATTTCATAGTTTCTGAATCTTAGGATCAAAACTAATACAATTATTTATTTTTAAAAATTATTTGAAACAATTATTTATTTTTAAAAATTATTTGAAACCATGTTAAATTATTGTTATTGAAGAAATTTATTGTATTCTATAGATCTATTGTATTTTATAGTATATTTTATAGATTAGTGTTGCATTGTCAGTCAATATCTTCATGTATGAACTTTGAATTGCCTCCCTTCGGTTTTATTCCCTTGATGGATATGGCGATATCGGAGTGCCGAGGAGAGACAGGTTGGAGAATTGGTAAGAGACGCCGGAAGCAATGCCGGAGAGGACGAGTAGGAAAATGGAGCAGAGAAATAGATTGAAAATGTTTTATGTAGTTAATTTTTAAAAGAAAAAATGAATTCTTTTTTCCATATTCATCCATTTTTAAACCTTCAGAAATTTGAAGTGATATTGGTAATTCTGATCTCCTATCAGTTAAATGGTCTTTCAATATTAAATGACAAAATAAAACTTTTTAATTAAAACAATTATCTAATACCTGTGAACTTTACTAATTAAACTTATTATTTTAGATTTTTTTTTTTTATCCTTCTGTTCTTATTTTCTTGGAGTCAATATAGCTCATTAATGAATAAAAAATTGTCCAAAAAGAATAATTAATGAAAATTAAAATAATATACTATGAACCTCTGGAACATGGGACTCAGAAAAATGTAGCCATGATTTGAGGACCTCCGTTGCAGCGCCAACCAAAACAGGGAAGAACATTTAACCTTTCGGGCACCAAATGTAGGGTAGATCAAACTAGAAATAAAACAAAATGTGATAGTCATGTCTGCCAAGGGAGGCAATTCAAAGTTCATACAGCAAGGTGACCACTATACGATTATGCTGCTACATAATAAAACCAAAAGAGCCCCCTCCCTCTCCTTGCTGGCTTTTATATACTTAAAAAAGGCAGGCAGGCCAGCAGAGCACAAAATCTAAAGAGTTCCAAGTTTTTTTTTTTTGTCCAAACACAGGTCAAATCACAACACTAGACTCATACTAAATAAATGAATGGGAGCCTACCACCTCCATCTCCTGTGCAACAAAATTAGACACTAATTTACTACCCACCACTTTAACAAAAGAACATTGAGTTGCAGACTTTCTCCTGCAACCTGGGGAGTTGGGGAACAGGAACTGCCCCAGCACTTGTCAAACCACCATCACTTGAGGTCGTCTCCGATGCTTCTTCAAACTTGATAAACTGCCCAATCTGGGTGGCCGCCAAGTGTGCATAGCAAACTGGAGCAACTGCACGAATGATATGAGCACACAATATTAAAGCCACAACCAACTTAGTTTCAGATGCAACAATTTGGTACGTTCAAGGACATCTTAAACATTTGTTAAATAGTAGATGAACTCAAACTGTCTTACCTACAGAAATAGCAGTAGTACTTCTTTGGTATCTGTACAATAAAAATACACGATGATGACAAAGACCACATATTATGAACCCGTGTTTGAAGAAGAATGTGACATCCATTTCCATTAAATAATACTTACACATAGGATAGAGAATGCACAAGTTCTTGCAGGTCATCTGCAGAAAAACCAATTTCATCTAACAGAACGTGATAGTGAGTTGGCCTTGTAGTACCCTTGGAGAGTATAAAGAGAGATGAAATTAGCAACCAAAATTTAAAAAAATAAAATAAAAAAACAGCTATCAGTAGAACACGTTTGAGACAAAATCCCAAACACAGAACTCACAATCATTCCAGCATGCGCACAGAGATAGAAATCGTTGTTTCTTGGATGACAAATTTTGTTGTCAATAATAGTCCCTACACGTAAGTGCAAATGAATATTTATTCAGAGGAAGACCGACCGCACAACACACAATAAAAGGTCAATAGGAATACCTGGAGGAACGTTGTCAGGAGATCCAGACTGAAAGAACTTGGTGTGATGATTTTTCTGTGCAACGATCACCACAAACTTCGGGGACCAATTTTCATCAAGGAACTTGCAAGCCTATAATATTTTAAATAATTAAGAATTATCTAGAACTTCAAATTGAGGATCATGAAAGATATTAAGAATTATTTAATCAAGCTGCTCGTAGAACCTGTATGATCTGATCAAGTTCAACATTTAGAACTTGATTGAATTGAGATTCACTGACACCATCCCTACTCAAAAACAAGTATAAAAGCAACTTCAAAAGCATGCAAAATATAGAACGAAGCATTGAAAACAAAATAACAGTCTGATGTCTCAAACTTTAAAAGCCGAGTTAAAGCAATGTTGAAAAACCATGCAATACCACTGACTCGAGGATCCCAGAGGATCCCATTGAAACCGCAACCATCCTATTACTATATATACAATAGTATTAAGAGAAATACTTGCCTGAATATAATAATCTGGTCAGGCTTCCTTTTTCCTGAACTAGTATAGAAGTCGAGTAAAAGCTCCCTGAAATTCAAAAAAGGAAAGTGAACTTCTGAAGCCAGCAAACCACGTCCCACAGGAGTTAATAAAGCTATTTTCTATGCAGGAAGATGTTGGACATACAGTTATTACTAATTTATGAACTTTATATATCTGAGATAGTATTTGAAACATAGCCTCCAAACTTGAGAGTACTAGAGTCCTAACTGCCAAAATTGACAGTCCTTCAGTCCACCGTAGATCCTATTTTATGATGATTGCAGGTGTTTTCGGCAGGACATTAGTCAAAAAGTAGAGTGTCTTTTGAACCAAGCATCAGAAATTGATCAAAAAAAGAATAAGATTCAATTGCTCCAATTATATGCTTTGAATTCTTGCCAATATTTCAAAAACAAAAAGTAGCTTGATGCTTGGACTAAAATTTTGTGAATAATTTTTTTTAATGCCATCAGTATAGTTATCAAATGGGATCAACATAATACAGCCATCTTAAGCGTATCACCAGTACCAATACCTTCAAACAAGCACCACCCCCCCCCCCCCCCCCCCCCCCCCCCCCCCCCCCCCCCCCCCCCCCCCCCCCCCCCCCCCCCCCCCCCCCCCCCCCCCCCCCCCCCCCCCCCCCCCCCCCCCCCCCCCCCCCCCCCCCCCCCCCCCCCCCCCCCCCCCCCCCCCCCCCCCCCCCCCCCCCCCCCCCCCCCCCCCCCCCCCCCCCCCCCCCCACACACACACACACAGGATTACATTAGAACTATAGAAATTAAAAATGGAATTGTGTTTGAATTTAAGAAAAAAAATCCAGCAGTGGCTTAAAAGATAAGCCATCCAACCTCATTATGCCATCATCTTCAGTTTCAGAAGTACGCTTGTACAAAGAATCTATCATCTCAACTTTTGGAGATTGAGTCCGAACAGCAGCTCTGTAACGAGAAATCAAGGGCCACTGCCGCGAGCTAACCACCTACAGAACAGGTAGTAATACCATTTCCATAGAATTTTAATGACAAAATTTGGCCAAAAATACTATCAAATTTGGATATATTAGAAGGCATGCTTAGTAAAAGGAAGACAGTAGGGTATCATAATACGCCCAAATTACAGCAAGTTACCGCAGCAATAGATGGAACATCTGACTGGCCTGGAGATCCATGTGAGACATCCATACCCAGGATAATTGTGGGAACCTTTGAAACCATAGGAATGGATGGAGAATGCTCAACTGCTAACAAGGAATTTAGCCCACCAAGCTACAGAAGATAAGAGGATTTAGCCACAAAGATGCAACAGTTCACAGAAACAGCCAACAGCATAGGGCATTAACTCATCCCCAGTGCAAGAACAGAAGTGAATGGAGCAGGCACTACACGAATAAAATGCAGCCAAGTATGTTCTTACCTTGGCATTGATCTTCAGAAGCACATTTGTGAGGTACTGGTCATTTACACGTGTAGGAGCAATACATTGAGTAACAATTCCAAATTCTGCAAGATTCTTTCTTTTCCAAGGACCTGAGAAACACAAATAAAGTTATCAACTTCATCCTCGGACAAATATTTATATTTTAGAGTCCTTAAGTAAACTTTACCATAAAGATCAGAATTCTTCCTCTCAGGGAGTATGCAAAGGATGAATTGCGGTTGTCCAGGTAGTTTAGACTGAACTTCCTCAAACATCTTTTCAACTCTAACCATAGGTGGTGCACGCCTGAATTGTGGATTTTCTTCAAAAACATCAAAAGGCGCTTCTATTGCCTATAAACCAAAAAGGTATTTCAATCAGTTGTTTGTTTAATATTGTAGCAATGAAGTAAATAAGATTTTTTTTTTTTTTTTAGTAAGAGAAATGAAGTATAAAAGACAACTTACAATGCCTTTCATATCACCACATCTGATAAGGTCTCTGACAAGGCCACGTGTATCACAGCGTGCTGAAAAGTTTACCACAGCCCATCGCTCTATTTTGGTAGGTTGAGCAAATTTCTGAAACTCAACAACACTGTAAGTCACAGGATTAACATGGTATTTAAATAATGATGGAAATGCCAACCTTATTATTGAAATTCCACCGGCCATTACGTGGAAAGAAATCTTCCCCATTGCCCACTTTCAACTTCAAAATTAAGAAATTCATCAAAAACTCAACAACGTTAAGTGGTCTAGAAGACAGAACAAAAGGCCAAATAAACTACAGTACCAGAAGGCAAATGCAAGTAATACCTTGGGTGCAGGTAGAACACGGCCTTCAACTTGAATGAAGTTTGAATTAATAGCAATTCCACATGACCGTAACATTGGTTCAGCATCATATTTGTTCTTTCTCAAAGACTGCAAAGACCTCAGTGATGCAGTATTAAGAATCAATAAAAATAAAATTCAAATGTAGGGCGAGAAAGACAAGACCTACATCAGACAAAACCCTCATCCTTTCTTGAGGCTTTTGCCTCGATTTCTCGACCAGTGAAGCTCTTTGAAATGTGGACAGTGCTTTTGTGTATCGTTGCAGTGATACCAAGGAGCATAGCTGAATAAGGAAGAAAAAGCTTCAAGAGGAAGAAAAGCAATCACTAACATTATGAGCTTTTCAAGTTTAAGAGGGAATAATAGCTTCACCTCAACAGGGATATAAGTGGGACGCTTAGGCTTCCCCACATTTATACAAGGAAGATCGGCTGAATATCGAAGTTCAATGTGGCGATGCTTAACAAAATAATCATAAACAGTGATTTCAATGGAATCTTCATCGCTTCCACTTTTCTGTTTCAACGTAAACCTATGACATGCACCAAAGGTAAAGTTATATCCAAATAAGAAAGGAGACAACATTTAGGAGCCATTTGATATTCAATTCCGTCTAGGTTTTCAAAACATGCGAAAACTGTGAATGAATTCAAGCACAATTAATTTTATTGAGCACATCAAAATCACCATTTAACTCAAGAATCAAGAATGAATAATAAAATTTTCTTCTCAAAAAGATGAGCCTGTTGTGAGGAGACATGAAAAGATTACAAGAAAAAATAGCGTCTAAAAACAATTGTCCAAATACCTTTTTACAGAATTATAGTTCTGAAAATACAAAACGAAAAATGTTTTGAAAATTATTTTCATACCCATGAGTCATAAAATGTAGTTTACGCTAATGCCACTATTTATTGGCAATTCTAACTTGAAATGATAAAGAAATGGAAACAAGGTAACAGCAGGAAAAAATACGTTTGCTCTTTACAAGCCTTTTCACTTAATCCAGTTATCTTGTATTCTGCATTAGACGGGCTTGCTTGAATCCTCAAATTCTTAAGTGTCCGTTTAGCCTGTTTTTCAAGAACGTACAAAAAGCTGTAAGGCAAAGTAAAAGAGATAGCATAGATAAAATCAATCAAACGTTGGTCACCTTGGTCCAGTCAAGTGAGAAAGGATCCCTGACATTCTGGTTTGCAATTAAGAAGTCCACAACAGGACCGGGCTGTATAATCATTGTAGTGGAAACATCTGAAAGGAATAGAACCGATTAGATATTATTAACAAATTCAAAGAAATCGGGTATGATGATAAAGACTTGCCAATATTCAAAGAGAGGCCACTCTGGGTTGTTCTAAAACTAGAGTGAAAGCCTCTACAGCCAAGAACACCACCGCCTACATCAGCAAAACTGTTTGGGTCATTATGGAAAAATGATTGTCTGACAAGCAGGCAACCTCTGCAACAAACCAGGTTTGTGTTAGAAAAAATGTCATAATAATCCTATAATCAGTGATAGCAGCTTATTTGGGAAAGAGTAAAACAAAAAAGTTGCACTTACTGCTTTGATGCATTCTGCCGTAAGATGATATCCAGCACCCTAATGGCCTCTTGGAAATTCTCAGATTCCTGACCACGTAAAGCACTTGCAATAGCCTGCATTGGTATCTTCGCTGCAAAGCTAATTTCTACCTTATATGATTTCGAATGGTAGGGTCGTTTCATCCTTTTTCGATCTCCATCATTTGGACTTCCATGACCATCAGGACTACAGTTTCCATTATTCCTGTAGGAATTGAACCATGTGATATAGTAACATGCAAACAGGTTTTGATTTGACAAATTTTCCTAAGCATTTTCAATCATAATTAAGAACCATTATATTTATACCTGTTTGATGAGACTTCCTCAAGAACAACGGTAAATTCAAGTTTATTTCTCGGGAGAGGACCAACGGTGAATAAACTCTTCTCTCCATCATAAGCAAATTCCTTTCCAGCTAATTCACTATGATAAGTTTCATGTACTTTATCAATCACTTTTCTTCCTATGCCCTTGCCATCAACAGGGCGACCATCTTCATACGAAAGTGCAACCTGTAAGTTGTAAATATTCTTCAAAATATGAATATGATTATCTCGAAACAACCTCTAGCACAAAAAACATACAAATTTTAAACAGTCACTGATTGTGGATACAGTGAAAAAAAAAATGGTTTAAAGATAAAGAGGAAAAATATAAAGAAAGGAACGTACACTGTAATGAAAAAAATGTCCTTCTATATTAGACACATTTACTTTAAAATGATTAGTAAGCAGAGTTATCTTCTGGCCCTTTGAAGCAAGGCCACGTCGTGCGATGGGAACCCGCACAACCTTTTTCTTCACTAATTCTGGAGCCTGCTCTAGTTCGGCCTGAATAGGAATGACATTAGGGGGAATAGGAGGAGGGGGCGGGGGAGGGGGCAATGCGCCGTCAGCTCCATTTCCATCTGGCTCATTTGAACTCATCCTGAAGTAATTTGCATGACTAGTAAGACACAGAAGGAGTACATAAATAAGGAACTATTTATAAGCCAATAAACGGTCATGCCTAATTTTTCTATCATTCAAAACTATTAGCCCGTAACAACATTATTATTGAGAGCCGATTTTAGAGAGTCCTTCGAGGAGACATATTGGGCGGCTAATTTTTTAAGATAAAAAATTACACCGTTCATACGGTGGGGAGCAGATAACGACGAACTATACTGCACCAAGAAACATTAAACACTATGGAAGACGGAACATAGACATTTGTAATTAACCATAGCCCGTCGGCCCACTAAATTTCCAGAACAGGCAAACCATATGAGAAACCCCATATAAACAAATTAAACACGAATTTCATCAGAATCACAATGCAAAACATGCAGAATCGATTTGACAGGCACACCAAAGATACGATACCGAGCTTTGATATATTAATGATGATATTTACGATAATGACATTTAGGATCCAATCGAAAGCAAAAATGGACACAATCGAAAGGCACGAAAACGTTAAAAACTAGCACCCATGGTTTCAATATTAGATTAAGTACAAAGAAGCGTGGCATTTCCTAATTCGTATCCAACGAAGCGGAGCCAAAACATTAAGCAGCTGGTCCAACAAGTAACTTAGAACACATGAGAACATTCAAAATCAGCATGCAAACACACATACACAAGCACTTCAGCAAATAAAGGCTGCTGGATGGATGTTAAGATGATCCACCAACACTTCAAAACCCAAGAACCAAAAGTGAGAGGGAGAATACAGCAATAGAAAAACAGCGTCGCTCGTGGACAGTCGGTGGAGAAACTTAAAGTCATTAACAATTTGATAATCACCACTCCCTTGAAACAAAAAGAATGAGATAACCGAAAATGCACGACCCGTGTGATCGGAAACAGAAAACTCAAGCCCTCCCCCAGAAAACCGACTTGGGTTAAAAATCAGAAGAAACGTTGAAAGTACAGCAGAACACGACAGTCTCAACAATGAGAGGAAAAAAGTCAAAAAAAAAAAAAAAAAAAAAAAAAAAAAAAAAAAAAAAAAAAAAAAAAAGGAAAAAGAAAGAAAACAACCAGCTTAAGAATTAAGAAGGAAGAACAATCTGGGAAGCAGAGCTCAGATAAAGCTAAAACAGAAGAACATTGCAGGGCTGACAATGGAGAGTAGCCGCATTCTCTCTCCAAAGGGAAAGGAGAAGAAATGAACAAAATAAGACAGGCGACAAAAATCGTTGAGAAGCCATAAAATGATGAGCGACAGAGAATGAGATGGGAGTTTGACGATGCAAAACAGGAAGCGATGATGAAATCAGTACCTGAATCACAGAAACGGAGGAAACGCAGAGTGTGAAAACCCTAGAAACTGGAATGACGAACTATAAACTTATCACACTTCCACTCAAATTCTTACTCTCTCTCCCTCTCTCTGTAAATGGATAAAGAGATGATATCAGCTCCAATAACGGCGTTTTTCCACTCTTTCTTTTATATAAAATCAAACCTCACAGATGGCTGAATCCTAACCATCTCTTCTCATGAGCCCCACGAACCTTTGTATCAAAAGTGCATAAGATGTGCGAAATCGACGGCCACAATTGCACAAGGCGGCTTCCGAAGACGTCAGTCCATTGGCCCCACGCGCGCGTGACTCATAGTGCCCGCCCTTCTCAGCTTCTCCATTTTGCCGCGTGTTAAACCCGCCTCCCACCTAACTCACATGTTTGCCACCATTAAAATCGTAAAATGACGGCTGTGTCCCTCCCTCACAATTTATGGTGCGTGGGTCCCACTTCCTAATCGGTCGACACGCATATTTACGTTGTGGTAAATAAAACCAATTCATTTCGAGTTAAATGGTTATTTATGAAATAAGGCCAATTGTGGGAAGTGGGACCATTTTCTTCTCTTTTAATGAATAAGAACCAATAATATTTTATTATTGATTTAATAATAAATTAGGTTGAATTAGCATGAATTCAATTTATTGTTATTATTTGGCCAATTTTTAATACAAGTTAAAATATCAAAAATTTATTGGAAATCAATCACTGGATTTAAGATTTATTGATTAAAATTGGATAATTAAAAGTATATGAGACCAAATAAATATGATCATCGATTATGATTTAAATCGAGTACAAAATTTGAATGGATAGGTTTTCCTTTTTTTATTGGTACATATGTATTTAAATAAAAATATAACTATTTTCAAATTTGTGTTCAGAGACTAATATTTTCAAACTTATTCTCCTGCCATGAGTAGGATAAAATTAGTTTAAATTCAAAATAAATTTAAAAAATAAGAATAGTATAATACTAAGTTCAAACCTGTTTTCTTTTTTTGTGGTATCGGTCCCAAGTTCAAAGCTACAAATAAGGTTAATACTGAGTAGAATCTGTTGATGTATCCCACACCACATATTAGGAATAGAAAATAAGAACTTGAGAAGATGGAGTTTTCAAAATCCACATACTTGTTTATGGAACATATCAACACATTACCCTTCCAAAAACAACCAATAAGTAAATAATCAGCCAATAAAATTAAATTTTCTTATTATTCTTTTCTTTTCCCCTTCCCTTTCCCTTTCCCTCATTTACAATGTTACAGTCCTGAGACAACCAATGTGACTACTAACTGGCAACATGGGGAACTCTCTTCAAGCTCGCTGCTGCAGGCACCACCGAAATTAAGGCTTATACCCCACAACACAGCTTCACCTCAAATTATAAGAAAACCTCAGCCACCAGTAGCCATACACACAGGCAGAGGCACTTATATAATGTACAAACCCATTTTAGCCTCAAAACCCAACTTCCTCCTCAACTCAACTATTAGGTTGTTAGCATTGTCGTTCAAAATTGGAGTGTTGCCATCAAAGTTCATCACATCACTCTCAATTCCCATCCTCATTTACATTTGCTGCCTTCTCCTTAGCACGGAAATCATCCAAGCTACGGTATTCCTCCTTAAGTAACTTATCCAATTCTGGATGTTTTCTTAGGGGCTCTTTCTGATCCCGTTGTCTACGATAGTGGTGGAAGGCCCTGTCAAATATAAATAATAGATGATCCGACCCAGTGGCCAAAGTTACTCGATATAATGTTAAGACAATCGGAAAAACGATATAGCAGACAAAGGGATGGAAAACTCAACTACTTTCAACCTATGAACAGTCTGAAATACAATGCTTACAAGCCTAAAGAAAAGATGATCAAAGGCAAAGCATGTCATATTGAGTGGCACACGTACTGTCAAATAGACGAGATGCAAGCATGAGTCGAGATTATGTGAAATATATGACCTCTCACCCCAGGGGATGCCTGATTCTGTTACCAATTAGTGTTTGGAGATATCCTTCAAGCTTTTTGGGGTTTTGGAGTTTGAAACTTTACCATTGAAGACTCATCTTGTCTCCATGAGCTGTCCTTGGCATCCAAAATCTCTCGGAGAGAACAAGAGTTTGATAGGAGAGGTTTTTATTACGATTTCATGATGTAAAAGAGAGGGAAAAAACCCTTATTTTTTGAATATTCTTCTCACCTTCACGGTTTTAATCCAAGAACGAAGGTTCTGGTTGGAAATATTCCCAAAAACGTATTGGCTATCCTATAGAATTTGGCATTAAGTCATTGTCCCGACAGATCATATACGAGATGTCTATCATGATAAGAACCGAAGCACAAATGGTAGATAAATTAAACTAAATAGATTAAAGCATGCAGTAGGTAATTTAAACACCTTGAAAATAACAGAAGATACGTAAGAACTCACCAGTATTTCTCGAGGCCGTAAAGACTTCCCTTCTGGAAGAACTCAAGAGTAAGCTGTTCAAAGTCTGTGTATAGATCCTCTCTAAATTCCTTTTCCAAACCATAACTGATACCAGAAAACATTGTCAAATTTAATAAGGCAATCCAGAAGATATAGCTAAGAACTTGAATTCTCATTCATGTAAAAAATTATGTTTCACAAAAGAGAGCATTATGGACACCACTCATGCGGAAACTTCAGGAAGTTAAGATAGCAGGTAAATAAACGATGGATGGGAGTAAAAGCAAGTATGATTTTTCATCAATACCTATAGAACCTGAAAAGGCACTCTATTCCATAATTATAGTCAGAAGCAGCATCTTCCAAGGCAAATTTTCGGAAGTCATTGTACATTGAATCGACAAACAGATCTCTAAGAAAATAAGACCAAAATCGATATAGAGTATTCATTTCCTGCATAAATAGATCACTTTAGAGGTGAACTTATATATAAAAATAAATGTAAAAATTTGACAGCGTCAACTTGTAAGAATTTATATAACTATGCTAATTCCCAGAAGCCAGGTGTGTATTAACTTAAAACCATGGAAGGCAAAGAAAACGGTATAATCAGTTAAGACAGCAGGGTCAGCATGAAAGAAGAGTAGATCTGAAAAGTACTTAATTAGATATAAGCCAAGGGCTTTATCAAGTCAAAAACTTGACCACATTTCATAAGCAATTAATTAAAAAAATGAAAGATCTTATATATCAAATATAATTTATAAAGTGCAAATATTTTCATGGAAGATTCAGCTTAAATTTTCCAGAAGACTGCGCTTTAAACATAAAATCAACGTAAAAGACCCAGTGATAGATGTAGTTTAGGGCAACACCATGCACATGCATATTTTTTTTTGTCGAAGATGCAATAAAGATGATGGATAGGAATGTTTAGGAAATAAATCCACCTCGCTGCAACCAATTCCCAACTTCTTTCTGTCGCTCAAGCACTTTTTGTAAAATTTAAGGTACCTAAAATGAGAAACATAGGAAAGCATCACGTTACAAGCCATCCTCATATTTGAGCAATAGATAACATAAGTAAATGATTGTCTCACTTCTGCTGTTTAAAACCATTCTCTTCTAGAAGTTGGTGACTGGGATGCTGAAAGGGTGGAAAAGACTTGGGCAGAGAACCCACTGGTGGACTATTGCCAAGGAAATTTCCATGAGGAGAAACACTCAATTTCGATGGCCTGGAGCTGTAAATATGAAATCATACTTGGATTAGCCCCATAAAAGTGTGTGTGTGTGTGTGTGGGGGGGGGGGGGGGGGGGGGGGGGGGGGGGGGGGGGGGGGGGGGGGGGGGGGGGGGGGGGCGGCGGTGGAACAATTTGAGTATGATTTCCTTTTTAGGAAACTAAAATAAAGTAACTTCCGTCCTGCAAATTAACTTCCTTTTTCTCAAAGGAGAGAACACGTACATTATGATATTTTATACACAGGTAGCGGCTCTTTCAGACTAACCTTGTGTTTTCAGGAGTAGAACCAAAGAAAAAACCTACAGAATTACTAGGTGGGCTCTCTGCTACAATGCCAAGAGAGGTCCGACTCGTTCCATGATTTCTAAAGTTGCTCGAGAAAAAGCGTTGCTTAAGTGATGAGTGTTGTCTAGGGAAGGTTTTAGTTTGTTTCTTCCTGGGACTAGCATTCCCGATTTCATCCAAGCCACAGTTTCCAGCAAAATTTTCACTAGGCTTTGACCTTACTGATCCTGAAGCACTGCTAGATAATCTTGAGGTTACTTCCCTATTCTCTGAGTTGCAGTTGCTCTTTTTTCGATTAGATCTCTTATTTTCCAGTACCTTTGATGTTAAAACAATTCAACGATCATTCAAAATTGAGTGAAAGTATTGCATAAAACAAAATAAGGATGGTAGATTCTCAACTTGCTCGTAGAAGTAAAGGCCATCGTTTATTGTTGAAGCAAGCTCTTTAGATATTGATTTTGATTCTTTGCCTCCATTTGTAGACCTTTCTTTGACGGCACTATTCTGCAAGGCAATTATGGAGGAAAAAAATTAAAAACAAATCCAAACAAGAAATGAAATAGGACATGAACTATTCATACATGCACTAGAAAAGGAATTCGAGACTTGAAATCATTAAGGGGGATACAGTCTCATAAAACACAAATAAACGAAGACACTATCTGGGCATTGAATCCATTTCAAAGAACAAATTATCCTATATTCATTTAATTAGCTACCATCAAAACTATAGTTATCAGAAACAAAAAAATCTACCTAATAAAGATAATAATGCCGCAATATCAGATTGCGGGCAACTATGACCAGCTAATACACTGATAGTTCTATTTCCATTTACGTAAATATTTGTCTTCCAGAACACAACACACCAAGCAAATCCTCCGATCCAGAAAAGTTGGGACATCAAAACTTTTATTGATTTCTACACTTCCCAGCAAGAATATACAGATGAAAGATCGAATCAAGGTTCATATAGCAAGAGCTAATATAAAAGGATGACATGAATATTCTGATTTTCTCTTCATCTAATGTCCGTATAAAAAAGTAAGATTAATGTTATTAAGTGAGCAGCAGTTGCTAGACATGGAAGCAAATCATTTTCCCTAATAACATCTACCTGCGTGACAATAATAAGTCTCTGAACATCTTGATCATTGACAGCAATCTCATCATCACCTTCGTCAATCCTTGGTAGATGATACAACAAAGATTAAGAAAATGAGAACAAAAAACAAGCTTTGAACATTCTACAAATTGTATCACCACATCAATGGAACTGATCCATTGTATAGAGAGTGGAGATATATATCTGCGCATGTACGGGAAAACAATCAAAAATCATGAATGAATAGCCAACCAGTAGCTATCTCTCTATCTGCAAAAGATTATACTGTTCCTAAGACTTCTAGAAATAACCTATTCAAACTAATACAAGCACTGATGTGAACCATTTCTATAATATACTGGTCAAATACTAATATCCAATGACCAAGAAATATATTAATTATCTATCAGACAGTCCATGGTGTAGTAAATTCCTAATAGAATAGCTTTTTGGTTATTGCGCCGACTAGCCCATACTTCATCGTAACCAACAATTACGCCAGTTTTTTTTATAACTACAAGCTGTTGTATTTTCTGCCAAGAGGCGACAATCTCTTTTAAAGAAAGAAAGTATATAAGCAGAAGAATAGATAAGTTATCCACCAAAAGAGCCAGGAAAGTTTAAAAAAAGGGCTGTGAATTGACCAAAAAGGAATTGTAGTAACAAAAACTGAGGCACCATATTGTAACAAAAGATTTAATAATATTAAATCTACACTAAACAACCTAGCAAGAATGTATTCTATCATGCCAAGCAACATTGTTGCAATCCAGGTAGATCATATTATGCACAATAAAGTCTGCATAACAAAATGAGAGAGGAAATATAGACTTGATGGAAGGTATGTTGGGAAGAAAAGGAGAAACTAGAGATGGAAGAAATTGAAGAATTTGTATGCGTGTGAAAGAGACAGATTTTAGATGAGTCTTTCATTAGGAAGGGAATAATGGAAGACAAAAAGTCTCCCAAGCATCCAAAAAATTGTTGAAAAGCACTCCAAGTGTGAAAAAATGAAGGCCGAATAGTAACAAAAGTCCCTAGAGTTTAAGAGGAAAACACCTTCATATGTAAGAAAAAACAAAGAAACAGCATCTAGAAAACTCTAACCCTGTAAAATCCTCTGGTATCCTTCTATTTTTTTCCAAAAGAAAGCTACACAAACCTTTTGTTTTCCCAACTAAAGGATGTTTTAGAGTGATTTGAATTTAGTCTTTGACAAAGTGAGACTAAGAAATTGAAATTCCTTCACCAAGTGACCAAGAACAATGAAGAAACAAACGTGGATCAAAATATATTGACAGGACCTTTTTTTATTATATTCTATTCTTTTTTTTTCTTTTTTTCCTTTTTTTTTTTCAGGTGGGAGAGGTATGGACAGAATCACAGAAATTACAAATAATTTGCAAAAGGTTATATTTATTAAATATATTGCTAGCAGTGACGCTACAAGGAAAGATCGAATAAAAATTATCAAGCTAGAATCAATAATATACCTTCCACTTGAAGTCAAATCATCCTTTTTTATCGCTTTCTGTTCAATCTCTAGCTCTTCATCAAGCATGAAAGTGCTTGAAAATTGGCTCGAAAGGTCATCAACATTCTGTGCACCAACATTAGATGAAAACTCTATGCCTTGAGGCGGCACAGTTCCACGAGAATGTTCTGAACAAAGTTATAATCAGCACAAAACCAACACATGATTATTAAATTGACCTCCCACTTGAACTGTTCATTACAATACTTTTTTATTCCATCATCAAGCTGAACAATCAAACTATCACCTTCCACTATATCTAGATTTGCTACTTCCAGACTGTCCCTGCTTGAGAGCTGCTCCAGAGAACAACCCTGAGGTAGTGAAGAGTTGATGTTATGATTGGACGCTGGCCTTCTACAACAATCTGAAGCATTCTCGTCCACCAAAGAGTTAGTAGTTTCATACACCAGATTGGATGAAGTCTCAACACTTAATGTTGATTTAGAGTCTTCAGGAACTGGAATCCACTTTAACCATTCATCACGTTTTCGCACCTTATCACCCTACAGAAGATTAAGGTTTGTAAGGTAAAGTAAAATAAATTATGTTTTATTACGAGCCTATGTAGTTTCGAGTTCATTTTTAATATATGATTTACTTATGAATATTCTTTTTAACAAGAAACAACTTCAAAAATATAAAGTTCGACAGATGAAAGGGGGTTAAAAGGAAATAATACAAACAGAAAATACGACCATATAGAGATTATCTTTTCAAATATCTATGAAAAACTTTAAAGAACCAATAAGAGAGCTTGCAAAAGAATGATGAAACTATGAATAAGGCCTTCTCCATGATTGCTACTTTAAATCTTCGAACGAAAATCAAGAACTGATCACCAATAAACAAACAAAAAAAAACTTTTAAGAAGCAACCACAAAGCATCTTGATGCAACAAAATCAGAAAGCTTCTCAATACCAAAAAGATTGATTCCATCACACTCTAAACTTCAAGCCAAATGTGCACATAACTCAAAAAAAAACTCCTCTGCTTTGCAAGAATACTTATCCCATAAAAAGAAGCTTTGGAAGAACCATCGTCAGCAAATAAGGGAAAATTATCTTCGTGCAAGTTAATCCTATTACCTCAGTAAGATTCAGAAAAAGAATCTTAAAAAACAACAACCTCCATACTCAAATCCACTAGTAGAATAATTGATTCCACTCCACTCAAACTTACCTCGAAATCAATCTCATAGACGTCACCGTATGGTGTGGGGTTCTTTGTCAAGTGAACAACTTCTCCGGTTAAACCTATATCTGGATCCAAAGGAGTGAAGGCAAAATATTTGTTTTAGGGTAAAATAGGTGAAAAGGAGGATAGAAAGGTGACATTTTGATCATAAGATACTAAAAGCTTTGTATATCTTTCTTCTTCGATTGAATTTGAATTTGAAGAGTTTTCGCCAGAGCATGGATGGAATTACTTTGAATACACTTCGTTCGTATTGAGAGGTTATTTAAGTGGGCCAAGTCCAATATAGGTGTCACAATATTATCCCACTGTTTTAAGCATATGAATGTAATGGATTGTGATTTTACATGCATCACCTCATTGATATTTGAAATCCACATTATTCAAGTACGCATCAAACCAATATGCCTCAACTTCAAATGAATACTTTCTGGTTTATCATTAGATCCCTAGCAAAACGCTGTCACCTCTGCTCTATCTGCACATCCTCTTCAAACCAAGTGACTAGCTTAATAGAAACTTATGAACACAATCCATCCACAATCTCATCGCTAAAAATGTGGATCTCCAAAGTTCATTCACATGGAAAAGGACCAACCAGATTCTCAAATACCAGATTCATCAAAAGGACACTTTTCTCTTCTCCTATCTCTTCATCTTTCTACTCTCTTCCTTACCACTGTCCAGCATCAATTTGCTATCTTTAATTATCATGGTTCACACCTGACTTAAAAAATGATGCTGCGACTCCAAAAGAAATAAAACCTTAGTAACACTAGGAGAAATGTTTCATTCATTGACATAACTTAGACAAATCGAATGCTTGTACAAGTTCAAAATGCAGCCAGTATGCCATCCCAACAATCCCACCGTCGAAAATGAGAGTAAGAATGGTAAAGATATTTAATTGCAGCATACGTTCAGAAAAGAGTTAGGAAATACAAATTAACAGTTAAATCTGAAACAAATAAAAACTGTGAACTTCAGATACCAATCAACAGGACAGCATCCTAGTTAGATAGGTTTTCTCATCACGACAGCATTACATAGGGTGCTGCAAAAAGTCAATAGTTTTAAATTTCATCATTCTAACTGCAGCACTAGAATCCTTGCAGTCTCAAGGTTTTCACACCATGCATTTCATTGGATGATTTGAACTACAGACAAACCCCAAGAAAAAGAAGGAGGAGGGGAAGAAGAAGAAAAAACATGTGCTCCCATCCCTTCTACGTCAAGAATCAAACATAAAATGACTGGAGAAAACGAGTGGGTTGTTTTAAAACATATTTATTTGACTGAGCATTATTTTAGATGAAAATGAATAGATAAGACAGTGATTCCAAGCCGACTGAAAATTTTCTGCATCCATTTAAGAGGGGGAAGAAATAAGCAACAATATAGCTTCCATATAATTTTAAAATATTCTAAAGAGTAAATCAGATAAAAGGAAGAGGGGTCCCATTAAAAAAAGGACAAAGTTAAACGCGGATAAAATAAAAGTTTTAAGACAATAGAACCTATTGTCGTCAAATTTTCTATGTCTATGTTTCCCAAAATATTTCATATGAATTGCTTTTGCTCCATAAATACAGAAATGAACAACAAAAGCCATAAAGCATAATAATAAATACCTGAACTTCAACATTTGCAGATAAGTGCAGAGAATCAAGGATAAATGGAACGTCAGTGCTCATTTTCCTAACCTGGAACCAAATTTCCAATAAAATGTTAACGTTGAATAATTCTTCAAATGGATATAACATGACAGCTGAAATGTGAAATCTCTAAGCATGAAATATTGGCAAGGGACAGCTTTTGAACCTATCAGTACACAGCAGTGTGTTCCATTCTATCACGACAATATATATCATGAATCCATAGAAAAGATCTTCTAGATGGAAAAAAGAAAGGCTTATTACATTTTCTGAAACACCAACAAATATTTAACTATACCCTTTTGAATTCAGCAATGGCTGATATTGGAACCCATCCATGGTCATCCATCAAAGATATTAGGTAATGGTCCTTCTTCAGATTTTCATCGCTGCACCAAAATATAAGGAAAATGCAGGATAAGTTGACGGCAAATATTTTAGATAAGAAACGAGAAAATATCCATTGATAAGTGGAAAGCTACAAATAGATGAGTAATTCTCAACCCACGAGGGAGCTGTCAAAGAGCTGCTCCAACTGATATTAGAAGGCCAAATGAAAATATAAATAACAAGGCTACATTCAATAGAAATGAAAATACTAGTCTAAGTGTAATAAAAGAAAAGTCCACTCAAAATAAGACGAAAAGTTAAGCACAAATATTGCATATTTCAGGTGCAACAAAGCATTCAACACTGAATAAATAGACAGAATACATAAAAGGAATAATATTAACAAGCGGCAATTCTAATGTATACCAGCATCAAAGTCTCAAAATTCTCAACAAAGGGGGAAATCTCTTTCTAGATTAATGGTTGACCTACCTAAAATAATACTCAATTTGCTTTACTAGATTGTCCCGAAGTGCTAGCATATCCGGGGGAAGCATTGAAGCCCTTGCATTAAGAGGGTGCGGAATGAGCTGAGGAGGTCTCTCAATTGCATCAGGAGGTGGAACAGGAACATAGTACATAGGTCCATGTCCTGCATAACATAGAAGTCTTTGGTGGTAACTAATGCGACTAATAATTTCATGTGAGCATAGTCCAACAACATAACAGGACATATTTAAATTTAGAGCAGTCTAAATATTAGTGTGACAGATTTTTGTACTAATAGAATAAGGAAGGAAGAGGAGGTTAAGATTAGAATGACATATCTTAAGATACTTGAGAGGTTATTAGGATGGCATAATTACCAGGAAAACTGGGACCAACCATGAAGCCAGGAGCTGGAGGGTAAAGCTGTGGGCGTACGAAAGGGCGTGGTCCAGCACTATGTTGCATGGAAATGTTGTCTCTTGGATTAAATCCCCGTTGATGATGCCAGCCATGGTTCCAATGAATACCAGATTCTTGCATGTAAGGTCTTCTATTATGAACACCAACAACATAACCACTTGGATCACCTCGTGGTGGAGGCTCGACAGTTGGAACAAAAGCTTGTCCTGATGTCTCACTGCCAGGCTTAGCCATGTGTACTTTAACCCCAGCTACAGGTCGAGGCTGGAAAACATATCCCGGAACAGCGAGATGAGGAGGATGTAATATGGGTGGAAAAAGTGGAGGCATTGGTGGCTGATGATAAGGTAATGGAACAGAAGCATGCACAGCAGCGTTTGGGTTGCGCTTAGAGCCTGCTTTTGGATGATGTGATTGGGAATTCTTTAGTGAATAACTAGGATTCCGAGAGGCGGGTGACTTCTGTACACATCCTCCCTAGTTGAAAGCGCCACATTTCTCCATTTAATTATATTCAAGAGGAAAAATAAAATAAATTGGATATATTACGTCAATAAGCGGCAGGAATGTCAAAATAGTCACGGACGAGATTTCATAGTTAGTGGAGGTGGACTTTGCCGGGTTATTCAATGATTGAATTTTACGTAATATATATCTTAGTTTCTTAAAGAATTTCGTTCCTTTGAGATTTTGTATTGCAAACTATCAAATTTTCAAATTTTGTAAACGTGACGAGTGCAGCTAAAATCAAAGTCCTAAAGGGAACTTTCAAATTTTGTATTGCAAACTAAACAATGGGAGTCGTTAAGTAGGTGACATTGCAAGGTTGGTAGTCTGTGATGAGTCAAAGAAGATATGAATCACAGAAAATGTGATTTAGGGTGTGTGAAAGTTAACCTGAGGTCCTGAAGACGGAGAGTGAAGAGCTACTCCATCTGAAAGCTCCCCTGAATGAGAAGAGTTGGCAGACGTAGTAGCATCTAGAGTTTTGGGGCGGTGCGCGTCAGCGAGTGCAGGCCAAGAATCAGCTCCCATTACAGGAGCATCCGTGTCCTTCCCATCAACCGCGGGTGGGTTCTTCCATGGAGACTTGCAGGCATTGGTCTCTTGGGTATCGTCGGCAACCTCGGTGTCCACCATCACCATTGTGAGCAGCAAATTCCAAGAAAGACCCGGAGTAAGAGTGAGGAGTGGAATGGAGAGCAGAGAGAAGTGGGCAATAGAGGAGGGAGTGGGTGTTAGGGTTTATGAAGGAGAGGTTGGAGCAAAGCAGGCAGTGGGAGTGTGAGATGGAGAGCAGAAAAAAGTAGTTGGCGGAAGCAGACAGGGAAATAGAATTTATATAGCGACTAGCGAGGGCAGGGAGGGAGGGCGGGCAGAGAAGAAGACACACCCATATCCTTCAGCAATTCCCCTTTTTTCCGCTTTTGTTTCTTTTTCTTTCTTTTTTTTTTTTTTTTTTTTTTTTTTTTTTTTTTTTTTTTTTTTCTTTTTAAGGGACAAAACAACGCTTTCATCTATTGGCAACAAGTATGTCTTCTACCTAATGAAAATATTCACTTTTTTTTATTTACTCAATCATAAACTAAAATGCATTACTCATTTCAGAAATATCCGTTGCTTAAAAGTGTGTTCATTTAATTATGTGATTGGGTGTTTTATGAGTTTAAATAAAACAATTAGACCAACCAAATTATAAATAAATTCTAAATCACAAATATAAAAGATGAACTTTCAAAGTCATGTTATTACACTTGTAACTTGGCCAACCAGGAAATTGTGGGGTTATTTATTATTATTTTTTTTTTTAAATATATTAGTGTGGTGGAAGTGATGTTCGAGAGTAGTAAGAGTATATTCAAATCTTGTTACAATTAACACAGTAAACATCATTGTAAATACCAAGTAATTTAATACGTGGCCAAATATTGAATCAACATAATAATAATTAGGTTGAGATTACTTATATTAATTAATTAGCTTAGTTGGATTAAAATTATTAACAAATTGCTCAAACTCTGTTTAAAATTTAACTCAAGTGAAGAAGGTAATAAATTTTAGAAATTTTAGATGGCGTGGAATGAAATTTATTTACAAATCTTGACCCATAAGGGAATTTATTTCTATTATTTTCCTCAACCACAATCATTCTCGTCCTATTTTTTGTTCTAAATATGGATATCAAAGAATATAAATATCTTTAAATAATTGAGTCTACTAGAATTGAATGCCTAAAATTTGATGGAATATTAAATATTGAATACTGAACGGTAATATTATTCAAATACGCTGATATAAATAAATAAATGTAGCGCGTGGGGAAACAAAATCCAAATCTCTCTCTAACACCATTTATTTCGACTAAATTCTAATATACAGGAAAACATGAATATACTAAAAAGAATAAAAAACTGAAAAATGCGAGTAGTAATAAACAAATAAATAATTTTATAGTCTGAGCTTGAACTTACAGCTACTGTTTTTAATGACGATGTCGTTATTGGCTGAAACACTATCAACCAACAGTCTGCAGGTTGCCGAGAACTTCACCTTCATCAGCTTCAAGCTACCCAGCTTTATCCTGACCGGCTGTCTCACATTCAGATTCAACGGAATACTGCCGGTTTGTTGCTGCTCCTGCTGCAGCGTCGTGAAAAGCGCGGTGGCGTTTTCCGTCACTCCCACCAACGGTACGTTAAGCACCGTCCTATTCCGATGGCCTTGGTAAAACTTCGGCAAAGCCCCTTCGCACAGCTTCGTTTCCATGTACCACGCGCTTATGTGGCTCCCTCCTTCGTAATAGATTCCGATTTTCTTGTTAGGGTTCGTAGTGGTCAGCGTCAGGGTGAAAGTGGCGTCCAACCGGTCGTTTCCACCCAGCGTGAACTGCGTCACTTGCAGTTTATCGATCGAATACTCCGGAAGCTTCGGTCGGAACACCAGGTACAGGATTCCGACCACGATTCCGATCAAAACCAGTAGGAGAACTAAAATCGAGATCGTCCAACACAGGCACCTGCAGCAACAGCTTCGTCTCTTCTTCGGTGGCTTGGAGTGCATCACCGGGATCGTCCGCCGAAAGGGTGGATATAGAACAGTGGCCTCGGCAGTACGCGGCGGTCCGGCGTCGGATTTTTCTGTTCCATGCGGCACCAAGGGGTCAGTGGGAGCCGGCATGGGCGGTGCCTCGACGTCGTGGAGTGGAACGTCGTGGAGTGGATATATCTTTTGGTGCTCCGCCATAAGACAGGCGACGCGATGAAAACAAAAAAAGAAAAGAAAAAGAAAAATGGTATGAAATGAGAAAGGGAGGATGGAAATAGAAGATAATGGTAACGTTGATATAGATTTATAGATAACTTTGAAGCTCAGTCGTGGAATAGACTTTTCTTCCTTTCAATTATTGACTTTGGGGCTTCCGGTTGCCTTTTTCTAAGGAGACTAAAATCATAGAGGAGGCTTTCGTATTTAATTTTCTGAATATATTAATTAAAAATGTTGACAAATTAATTATGTTATGTTTCATTGTCAGATAATACTTAAATACCAACAATTTGAAGGTGGGTTTGTTGAGAATAATAATAATAATACATGGGTTCGGTAAGCAATTGAACAATTTGGTTAAGACTCGAGATAGGGGGTGTGAAAGGGTTCTTTTCTCTCCAAAACTATTTTTATTTTTTATTTTTGCTTTAATTAAATGCTACACACAAATCAAATACTTGACACATTTATCATATGATATATATTATATTAATGTGCATAAATTTCCAAAAACGCATTAGTCTCCACGTGGAGGAAAATGGGAAGCTTCCAGTTCCACAACATAACCGGAAGACGAGGAACTATACGCGTAGCTGAGAATTGAGATAAAGACTAATAATAATAATAAAAAATCATTGAAGACCGCTGAAATCGAGAGTTTCTTTTTGAAATAGAAGAATAAATAAGTTAATTATTGAAATTGTTTATTGTAACATATTCAAACTTTGGTTGCCTTGGGCATTGATCGCCTAATACATTTGACTTTAGTAACAGGCGGCCCAAGCAATCTTCTGAATACGCCACTCCACACCTCCATCTGAAAATTACGGCATATATATATATTTATTTATTTACTTAAAAAAATTGAAACAGAGAGGTGTATGTAAGCTAGACGATACAATGACCTAATTCATGTATCACTTAAGTTCAGGCCTTCACATTTCTGTCCCAACTGAGTGAATATAGCATAACATGTATTTCTATTTATCTAATCCTCTCTACCAATCACGAAGCATACAAATTTCAAATACGAGGTTGAGGAATGGGTCGGCTGCTTATTCTGCGCTTTGCCGTATGCAGTCCTCGTGTCCTGTCTCAATGGCGCGATTCCCCTGCGGCTACATACACCACGACAAGTGGCATGCGAAGTAGATGTAATTAAAATAGCCCATTTTGGAGGAGGAGCACGTGATTTGTACTCGATTCTCGTTTTAACTAAGTCGATAAACAAAATCCAATGTCGTTTTCTGTACACTGCTAAGTTAAGTGGCCATCCACTAAATCAAAATAACCTCCCATTAAATAAAACCAAACCCCACCAGGATCTCAACCTAAATCCTTCCGCCTTCATTTCCTGATCTTTCTCCCGTCAATGGCGCTCCAATTCCAATGCCTCCAGGTATTCTCCCCCCTTTCTCCAGTAGCTACAACACGCTCTCCCTCCTCCTCACGCTCCCCATCCCTTGTCATTGCCTCCTCTAAATTCCACACTGCACCTCTCCTCGGCCGCAAGCTCCGAGCGGCCGTCATCGGCGGTGGCCCTGCGGGATCTTCTGCCGCCGAAGCTCTGGCAGCTGGTGGCGTCGAGACTTACCTGTTCGAGCGCAGCCCATCGTCTGCCAAGCCCTGCGGCGGCGCTCTTCCTCTCTGCATGCTTAGCGAGTTCGACATCCCTGCTCATCTCATAGATCGCCATGTTACTCGTATGAAAATCATATCCCCTTCGAATATCGCCGTCGACTTCGGAAAAACCTTGAAAGCCCATGAGTTCATACCCATGCTGCGCCGCGAAGTGCTTGATTCCTTCCTCCGCGCCCGCGCCCAGTCCATCGGCGCTAATATCATCCACGGACTCGTGCTGAATCTAGAGGTCCCTGCCTCCTCCAACGCACCGTACGTCGTGCATTACACAACCGAAAACTCTATGCGATCCTTGGCCGTGGATGTGGTGATCGGCGCGGACGGCGCCAATAGCCGAGTGGCGAAGTCGATAGACGCCGGAGGTTACACGTGCGCGATCGCGTTCCAAGAGAGAATCAAATTGCCAGAGGAGAAAATGGAGTACTACGAGAATCTGGCGGAAATGTACGTAGGGAACGACGTGTCGCCGGACTTCTACGCGTGGGTATTTCCAAAGTGCGACCATGTGGCGGTGGGAACGGGGACGGTGTGCTCGAAGCAAGACATAAAGCAGTACCAAAGTGGAATCAGGGAAAGGGCAAAGAGTAAGATAAGTGGAGGGAAGGTGATTAAAGTAGAGGCACATCCAATACCGGAGCACCCGCGAGCTAGGCGAGTGATAGGGCGGGTGGCACTGGTCGGGGACGCGGCAGGGTACGTAACGAAGTGCTCCGGGGAAGGCATATATTTCGCTGCAAAATCTGGGAGAATGTGCGGGGAGGCAGTGGTGAGAGCATCGGAAGGAGGGGAGAGGATGATCGGAGAAAGGGATCTGAAGAGAGAGTACCTGAGAGAGTGGGACGCCAAGTACGTGGGGACGTTCAGGTTCTTGGATCTGTTGCAGAGAGTGTTCTATGGAGACAACGCCGGAAGGGAAGCATTGGTGGAGATGTGTGGGAACGAGTATGTGCAGAGAATGACTTTCGAAAGCTATCTATACAAGAAATTGGCAGAGGGAAACAGAGTGGAAGATGCAAAGTTGATGTGGAACACCATTGGGAGCCTCATAAAGTGTGGGATTGTTGGTAGATGAGAGAGCGACAGCATTGCTGCTTTTATGTAACTTCCTTCTTTGCCTTACCTTTTCTTTTCTTTTATGTGAACCCAGTGTATGTCTGCATATCACATCAAGTTCAGTACCAAATATTGGGTTTAACATACATTGTTTGTTGGATACACATTTACTTCAATTGCTTTTGGGATGGGGATGGGAAGATTGAATTAGATCGGGCAAGTAGAGCAAAGAGGAGAGTAAATAATGGGGTTGGTTGGATTAGAACTGGAACTGCATTTGGTAAGTATAGCCAATAGTTTTGAGGTAAGCACCCATAGCTTTGTTCATGGGGGGTGGTCCGCACCTCAATATCTGTCGCAAAATGAACAACAATAATGCCTGCTATTAGCACAAACTTTCTCTTACAGAGAGAAAGAAAAACGAATGAAGCAACGCATGCATACCCACCCGAACATTAGGGGATGGTCCAGGACAGTGTAGTCGTATCATTTCCTCAGTCACAAAGCCAACGCCGCCATCCCATCCTTCAGGAGGCTGTACAGAGCAGAGGGAGATTGTAAAACGACATGGAACTGCAGAATATATTTCCAAAATTATAAAACCCCAAGTTGTTACCTGATCGAGCACATAGTAGACAGAAAAGCGGGAAGGGAACCTAGACGCAAGACTATCCAATTCTTCCTATAAACACCAGTAAACTGGAAGGTTTCAGTTCGGTTTTGCAAGGCAATATCTAAATCTCAATGTGGGGTACCTTCCAAATCCAAATTTAAGAGAGGAGAATGAGCACCTTTAGAAGAATGTCTTCATAAGTAGCATTAGCATATATAAGATGCGCATTGGTGTGATCAACTGGGTTTTCTAGTATTGCTCGTGCAACCTCAAAACACAAAAAGAAACGTTCAGAAATGTTGATGGGATCTGCTTATTTATAGGACAAACAGAAAACAAATACGAATCAATCCTTACTCAAAACTTAAGATCAAACTTAGCCCATGCCCATACCCATACCCATACCCATACCTGGAACATAGGAGTTATGCCTGTGCCTCCAGCAAGCATCCCAAAGGCCTCAACTTCATTAGCTTCATACTTGAAACGTCCCTGTCACCACTCGCGCACACAAACAGAGACCCACTCTATAAATAATAGATATGACCCCAGAACCCGTGCCCCAGTTTTAGATTTTCCCACATCAAATGTCAAAAATCAAATATTTTAAGCACCTAGCTCCTCCAAAACAGAAAATTTGAGACCAGAAGCAGTTGGGCTGTTCAATGCGCTCCTCGAAGTTCTAATATAACCTTATGTTTTATTATGAATCCCAATCCCCCAAAAGGACTGATTTTTTCCTTAACGGTCAATCTTTGCCTTCAATTTTTTATTCCGTCCAATTCAAACCCTAAAACTTGATGAGTGGTTAAAACAATGCCTCCTCAAACGATATACATAAATAATAAACATTACTCAACCAGCCATAAATCACCCAAGAGTAACAAATAAAGAACCAAAATCGAGCCAAAAAATTGTGTAAACGTACCTATTCAAACAAAAGAGAATAACTCCTCAAACTCAATAATAGACTGCTTAAACACAACTAAAAAGCATCCAACGCCATCTTAGTAACTAGCAGCCACAAAATATTCAAACCCAGTCCAGCCATACGAATACTCATAACCACTCATAAACCTTTCAAAAAGAATGCGAACACTTGACAAAATAAAAGGTATACTCAAGCCTAAGATTCACTCTGACCAAGTTAACCGTTCAAGGTTCAAATTAACAGAGTAAAAAATGAAAATCTCAATTCTACTAATGTAGTGGCAGTTGTAGGACATATTGGCAATACCTTAGGACCTTTCACCGCCAAGAAATCACCTTCACGCATCTCACGAAAGTGGTGGGACATCCTTCCTTGAGGATACATCTACATATTGTAGTAGTTGTATGCCAAAATACCAAATGTTATGGTTGGATGGATAGAATTGGGCAGATGGTTAAACACACTAAGAAAAACTGCAAGCTATTGCCCATTGGGAGTGCAAGGCCTATACCTTTATGACCAAATCAAAGTATCCAACATCTGTATCCAAACTGGTTGGAGTGTACGGTTTCACAACTTCTTCACCTTCGCTATCTTTTCCTCTGAACAAAAGCACATCATAACTTACAACAACAAATCGTTTGAAGACTCATAACATTCCATTGATAAATCTTTACTCCACGAAGTATCAAATCGAATAAAACCTGCAACTCATATGCTGCCCAATCGGCAGCCCCAAGATAGAGGTTGGCGTCGGAAGAGAGAATCTGAACTTAGCTACATTATGGCTAAGCTGTGTGCGTTTAACTAGCTTAAATTCTTTGAATTTATCAGGGTCCAAGCAGCCTAGCATAACACGAAACTACAGATAAGAAAGAGAAGAAGAAAACCCGGTAAAAATCGGAAACATCTCGAACAGCAGGGTAGTGATGATATCAGCAGCAAAAATGAAATAGGGATGGGGAGGGTTTGTTCTAGGTATTCCCAAATCCAACAGCCGGAGCCCGGCATCTTAATCAAGCAAAACAACAAAAATGCCCGAGTAGAAGGAATTAGGGAAGAGAAGGAATAAGAACCTTGGGGTTTAGATTTCTTGGTGATGTAGAAATAGTAGGTAGTAGCAACGCCGATGGCAACCGCAGCGACGGCGACGGTGAGAAACTCGGGTCTGTGAGAGTGGACGAAGCTCGTCGCCATCTGCAGGAAGAGCACGAATCGGATCACAGGGCTTCAATGGTTGCGGTTGTTGGGAGATGCGGATGCAGCCGAAAATGGGATCTCATCCCCCCCACATCCGTCCGTAGCTTCGAAATATATAAAAAGAAGGGAATAAATAATGGATTGTCAACCTTTTAGTTTTGGAATAAACCATTCACGATACACCTTTCACAACCCACGCCCATTAGCGTTACTGAATTTGACCTCGAATCATCAATAGGCTAAATTTTAAATTCATTAGATCAATGAATATATTCTAAATCTCCCATGAAAGATATATTTATTTATCCCGATTTCTATCTTTCTTTTTAATAGGGTAAATTTTCTAACTCTCTTTTGTTAAGAATTATCATTTCTTCCAGCTTCTGCCTTGGGGGGGAGGGGCCTCTGCTTTCTCTTCTATCATCTCCTTTCCACTGTAACCCGTATATATATATATATATATATCCACCCATTTCTTCATCCCTTTCATCTTTCAATGGATTCCCAGTCCACCCAGCTTGCTGCTGTTCTTGGTCCCGACCTTGCTTCTTTTCAAACTCTTCTCTCCCACCTTATGTCCTCCTCTAACGACCAATATCGCAGGCTAAACTTGTCTTCAATTTATGCAAGCAGACCCATCCTGATTCTCTCTCTCTCTCTCTCAAGCTCGCTCATCTCCTTCAGTTCTCTCCCAAAGCCGAGGTCCGTGCCATGTCTGCCGTTCTCCTCCGCAAGCAGCTAACTCGCGACGATTCCTACCTCTGGCCTCGCCTAAATCCTTCCTCTCAGTTCTCTCTCAAATCCATACTCCTCTCATGTATTCAAAGCGAGGACTTCAAATCCATATCGAAGAAATTGTGTGATACGGTCTCCGAGCTGGCTTTCGGAATCTTGCCGGATAGTGGCTGGCCAGAATGGTTGCCGTTCATGTTTCAGTGCGTATCGTCGGATTCCCTCAAGCTGCAGGAATCGGCTTTCTTGATTTTTGCCCAGCTTTCGCATTCTACTGGGGATACCTTGGTGCCCCACATTAAGCACTTGCACGGTGTGTTTTTGCGGTGCTTGACGTCAGCCTCCTCAAGCACTGATGTGAAGATTGCGTCTTTCAATGCTGTTATCAGCTTCATACAGTGCTTGTCCAACTCTGCTGATCGTGACAGGTTTCAGGATTTGCTGCGACCGATTACGCGGACACTAATGGAGTCGTTGAATAACGGGCAGGAGGCACCGCGCAAGAGGTACTTCAACTGCTGATCGAATTGGCCGGGATGGAGGCGAGGTTTTTAAGGCGGCAATTAGTGGATATAGTGGGGTTGATGCTGCAAATTGCAGAAGCTGAATCGTCGGACAAAGGAGCGAGGCACTTGGCGATTGAATTTGTGTTCGCTCTCGCAGAAGCCAGGGAGCGGCAGTTTTGGTTCGGCTCAGCTAATCTTCAATTTTTCCAAAAATTTATTTACACTGTTGGTGTAGGACCCTAACTTGGCTGTTATCCGAGAGAGTATGGGCAATGCCCCAAGTAAGAATTGCATGTTCACTTCTTCTGCTGAGTAAATGTACACAACTTGATTATTTTAGAACTTCTGTTGAGTAAATTTACGCAACTTGACTATCGTAGGACTTCTCCTGTTCAGTTGCTTTATGCTGATAATAAATTCTCAATTTCTTTTCTTTTATTGCTATCCATGCTCCAAGTAGGCTTATCACAAACTACTCCAACATTTCTACAGGACTCAATGGATACTTGATTGTGGTCTCTCATTCTCTATAAGTTGTGTACGGTTTTGACAGGTTGTTCCACCATGGTTAAACTGCCTACCAATAAAAGGTGACTAGGTTGAACCAAAAATTGTGCACGACCAACTTTGTTCTTTGGTGGAGAGGCAAGTTTTTAAGCTAATATTCCCTCCCCCATTGTAGTACTTGTAATTCTTACTTGAATTTTCTTTCTTATATTCCAACTATTATAGCACTAAGTTAATTTTATATATACAGGTCGGATATGGAACTCTTGGGTCCAAGTAACCAACATCTTCCCAAAATAGTTGCAGTTTTTGTCGAGGTCAGTTGGGAATTAGTATTTAATCGATTGATCATACTTAACAGTAACACGCCTGGAAGAGAACATAAAAATGGGAGGTAGGATAACGACAATTGCTTCTAACCATTAAACTGGGCGCTCTCAATCTCTTAAGTAGTGATTAAATCTAGGGTAGTGTTTGCTGGCCATATTTTAGAATGAGCCATTTATGACCCAATTCAGTGAGTGGGTGGAAATGATTTTCATGATGAGAACTACTGTAAGTTGCTCCCTTTGATTGACTGTATTCTGTATTCTGTATTCTTTATTGCATTATGATTTCAATGTTTGAGAAATGTGATCGGACAATTGGTTGTGCTGAATAGAACCAAACACATGCTAATGTGGTTGCTTTCAATGTTTTTCTTTAATCCTACCCAAAAGATGGTTTGAGACCTTCAACATTAATTGTGTGCAAAGTCGTTGATCGTTGCCTATATCTGTTTTGTATAAGCAGCGAGATGCTACTTGAGAAATTTGAGAAATGTGATCGGACAATTGGTTGTGCTGAATAGAACCAAACACATGCTAATGTGGTTGCTTTCAATGTTTTTCTTTAATCCTACCCAAAAGATGGTTTGAGACCTTCAACATTAATTGTGTGCAAAGTCGTTGATCGTTGCCTATATCTGTTTTGTATAAGCAGCGAGATGCTACTTGGTGCATGTTTAGATAACCTGGGTCAATGCTTCGTGCATCGTTCTTTTTCCTCGAGGGGAGTATTTGCTTGTGCAGGTTCTATGTGCGGGAAAGGATTTAGCAACATAGAAAACTGCCAGCCGAATGACAAGTTTGTTGAAACAGATGCAACAGAACCGCCTTCTACTTTAGCCTCAATTTGGTCCTACTTGCAACCTCAGCACCAACTTGCTTTGCAGCCTATCCTCTCATAGTCTCTCAAAGGTGACTCTGGATCCTGCCGCTGCCCCTGGCGGCACACTTTTCTGTTCTTGTTTATGTTTGAATTATATTCGTCCCCATTCTTTGCCATAAAATGCTCTCAAGCATGAGTTTTGTTTGGTCCCTTGCAGAGAGATGCTGTCATTTGATGATAGTGAAAATCATCGTTGCTTCGTGTTAAATAAAATGTGTATATTTCATCGTTTAATTCTAAGTACGTGGGTTCATTACAATTTTTTTCTAGTTTCGGGTAGATAGGTTGCCTCGGAGGCAATCCTTTCAGTTCTGTTTTGGTCCAATTAACTAGTATCATTGTCATTATAAATTTTCATTGCAGTTTCAGAATATATCAAATGAATTTTGTGATTGTGTTTCCTTGATTTGTTTTGAACTCTATTTCCAATTAGCAAAGAAACTTGACGTATTACAGAATTTTCGAAGCCAAAAAAAAAAAAAAGAAAAAAAAAGAAAAAAAGAACATTTCACTCAAATTTATTTAAGGCTTGCTTAGAGAGTGGAAAAAATGTAACACAGGGATGCCTGGACTCGTCGTAGTCTTCGTAGATATTGCTTTGGGGCAAATAAAACAAGTGGACTCAAGGTCAGACAATGCACGTTCAGACAACTTTGCAATTAAACTTTCATTCTTAACGTCGTGCTTCCACGAGTTTGTTGTGTTTGTTTGTTTGATTTTTCCAGGGAAGAAGAGTGGACTCCAAACTGAAGTTGCAGACCACTCAGGGTATGGCGTGCGGCTGCGTAGGCGCAGGCTCCTCAAATTCAACGTCGGTAACTCCTTCCATTAGCTGTTAATCATCCCATCAAATTCCTCCCTTTACTGCCGTCATGACTCATTATTCTCCATTTGGGTTTCCATTATACAGACGAAAAGGGCACTACATTTATAAGCCCAATAATTAAATAAAATCAGGACATGCTGACAAGAAGACAAAGACGAGGACACCACTAACAGCCAACAGCCTAAAGCCCTCATGCCTCATGCCGCCATTATAAAACCAATGCCCATCACTTCTTCCTTCATCTCAATTCCATTCGTAAACTTTGCAATGCAGATGGAGGGTTCAGTTGAGAAACAACAGCATAAAGAGGTTTCAGTTTCAGGCAGCAAAATTGGGAAATGCAAGGACAGATCTCGTAGACGCAGCTTCGTTGGTGTCAGACAAAGGCCCTCTGGGAAATGGGTGGCAGAGATCAAAGACACAACCCATGATATCAGAATGTGGTTGGGAACCTTCAAGACAGCGGAAGAGGCTGCCACAGCATACGATGAAGCCGCCCGCCTCCTCCGTGGTGCCAATACTCGTACCAACTTCGCAACCCATCTCAAATCCACCTCCGCCCTCTCTTTCAAAATTAGAAATCTCCTCAACCAAAAGATCAGTTTGAAACGAAGCTCCTCCAAAACCAGCCCCACCAAACTCGGTCCAATCACTGAAATTGAGGGTGCTCATTCTGGGCTCTCCTTCTCCACTGCCACAAACCAAGAGATACATAAGACGTTTGATAATGCAGACTGGAGCAGCGCCTGCAGTGGAGAAGTTGAGGCGCTTGGTCTTCGTCAGTTCAGCCATTCGTGGTGGCATCTTCCTCTTGGGTTGAACTTGGAAATGGATGAGCCTCCTGATCCATTACTGAGCCACCAAGATAGACAAGTGGCAGAGATGTCATGTGATTCAGAGCAATTAGATCTAACATCCATACCTATGTGTGCAGTGAATGGAATGAGTGAATATTTAGGAACTACATATGATGCCTTTGATTCTGTGGGTCAGATATTCTGCCCAAGTTGATTATACCCCGCTTTAATTAATTCCCTTTCTACTGCTATTTGAATGCAGATGATAAGGCAAAAGAAAATCAAACAAGCAGGCAGCACCCAATGCGCTCATACATGTACAACTTTTTCATATTATAAAAACACATGTACAACTTGTGATATTGTCTATCACAATATCAATCCATCCACAACTCAAGAAAAGATAGAATTACAGTCGAAACACTGGCGTACATATTCCTGATTTCATACAAAGAGCCACAAAGATAAGTAATGGAAATTTACTCCAAGACAAAACAGAATCGCTTATGGAAATGAAAACGGCAGGCTTTTGAACTAGACAAGAAATTATCAGGATAATAGTACCATGCACACTTTAGTAATCTTCACCTTCCTCATCATCATCATCTGCACCTTCAGCGCCAACTTCTTCATAGTCTTTCTCGAGAGCAGCCAGATCTTCACGCGCCTCTGAGAACTCCCCTTCTTCCATGCCCTCACCGACATACCAGTGAACAAATGCTCTCTTTGCATACATCAGGTCAAATTTATGGTCGATGCGAGAGAACACCTCAGCTACTGCTGTGTTATTGCTGATCATGCAAACAGCTCTCTGCACCAAGGCCAAATCACCACCTGGTACAACTGTTGGAGGCTGGTAGTTTATACCACATTTGAAGCCAGTTGGACACCTACAAAACAGATCCATTATCAAGTTTTTCTAGAATCCAAAATCAAATTGATGTTCAAATGACAATGCCCTTGAGGTCAAATCTTGCATGCGCCAAGATAACTTTAACTTAAACCTGCTCCAATCTAGAATGAACATGGAGATGACTATGCCTGAAAGTAATGTGCTCTCACTATCAACAAATTCCTTATTCTTCGTGATATATGACAAGAAAAACTTCATCTATTAATTGGGAAAGGGAGGCAGAACTTGGTAGATTTACTTTTCTCTAAAGGTTGTTTTCCCCGAGTTCTGATGGTCTTTTTTTAGTTTTTATATTTACAGATCAACTAAGCTGTTCTTCCTTTACTACCAGCTTGTGAAAGATTATTTCAGAAGCTTAGTAATCTCCATATTCCCGACCTATAATCATCCAACTTTTAGAAGTCACCCCCATCATTCTACAAATTAGTTCTCAAAAGCTACTATAAGAAACGAACTACCAAAAACAATCCCCGAGGAAACTGAGAGTGGCTCCTAATTTTCCTGGATAAGCTTTAAAACTTCCCAAAATAAACAAGACACATTTCTTCCACTTACCAGTCAACAAACTGCACGGTGCGCTTTGTCTTAATGGTGGCAACAGCAGCATTGACATCTTTAGGTACAACATCTCCTCGGTACATTAAGCAACAAGCCATGTATTTCCCATGCCTAGGATCACATTTTGCCATCATGCTCGAAGGCTCAAAAACTGCATTTGTGATCTCAGGTACGGATAGCTGTTCATGGTAAGCCTTCTCTGCTGAGATAACTGGAGCATATGAGGAGAGCATGAAATGGATACGAGGATATGGTACAAGGTTCGTCTGGAACTCTGTTATGTCCACGTTGATGGCTCCATCAAATCTCAATGAAGTGGTCAAGGATGAAATGATTTGAGATATCAACCTATTCAAGTTGGTATATGTAGGTCTATCAATATCCAGAGATCTCCTACAAATGTCGTAGATAGCTTCATTGTCTAGAAGAACAGCAACATCCGTATGCTCAAGAAGGGAATGAGTGGAAAGAACGCTGTTGTAAGGCTCCACGACAGCAGTTGAAACCTGCAATTGAATCAGAGCCCAAAATTGTTGAGATAAACAACAATTTCCTGATTATTCCAGAATGGCCATTCGAGTGGTTCTTCCTCTTAATAATCAAAATGTTTTGGTTAATTCACATTTGAATCGTCAGTACCTGAGGAGATGGGTAGATGGTGAAACCAAGCTTTGATTTCTTCCCATAATCCACTGACAAACGCTCTAGCAACAATGAACCCAAACCAGAACCAGTTCCACCGCCAACAGCATTAAAGACTAGAAACCCTTGTAACCCGGTACAGTTATCAGCCAGTTTTCTGATCCGGTCAAGACAGAGATCTACAATTTCCTTTCCAACTATAAAATAAAAGGTATGTCAAACAGAGTGACAAAAAATAAAAGGTCAACTAAGAATCCACAAATCAACATCAGTCACCTGTGTAGTGTCCTCGAGCAAAATTATTGGCAGCATCTTCTTTTCCAGATATCAATTGCTCCGGATGAAAGAGCTGTCGGTAGGTTCCGGTTCTAACTTCATCAATCACCGTTGGTTCTAAATCAACAAATATAGCCCGAGGCACATGCTTGCCTGAACCGGTCTCACTAAAGAATGTATTAAAAGCGTCGTGTGCAACACCTTCGGAGGTATCACTGAAAAAGAAAACACAAGCTTTCATTTAATAGGTAAAAAGCGGAAGTTCAAATTGTTTAATGTAATTAATTTTGACTCCCAAGAAGTGAAGAAAAACGAAACAAGAAAAAAGAATTGCCGCCAAGGATTAACTCTTCACGCACATATAAATCTTCGGCACCAAAATAAACGAAATATCAAATTGGTCGTCGAATTCGTTTGAAAAATGTCCCTAGGGCTATAAAAATTTGTAGAAAAGAATTAACTCCAGAAGATCCTATGAGAAATTAGACAACAGATTTAGATACGATGCAAAGTAGCACAAAAAATACCCAAATTTGATGATCAAAGACTAAAGACAAAGGTAGGAACGTGTTTAGTCTTTCGAGATTCGTCGAGGACACAAAATGAGAGAGAACAGAAACGGTAGGAAACAAAAAAAATCAAAAGCGAGTTTTAAAGACCGGGAATGAGAAGGGAAAGAATAGAAATGCGGAAGGGTAGAGAGATGAAGATGGATAAAGCAGTACCTGGGCATCATACCATCGGGCTGAATGCCATGTTCGAGGCAATAGAGCTCCCAGCAAGAATTGCCGACCTGAATCCCAGCCTGTCCAATGTGGATGCTTATGATCTCCCTCATCTTCCCCTACGAGAGCTTGCGTCTGTTAATACAGAAAACGGAGACAGCGATCGGAGAGTTGTAGGAACAAGGAATAGAGCGAAGAGCGAAGAGCAACGTCGGAGTTGGTGTCGGATTTAAGCAGAGGCTTTAATGGCGAAACAAAACCGGATTTGATAACCGATTCGCATCCGCAACTGTAATACAGGTGAAGGCGCGCCAGGCTTTCCATGGGTCCCCCGCTCTCCCGTTCCCTCCAATCTTATTAAACCTTATGACAATTTTACCCCTTCCGAGCTAACCCATAAATGGAAATTTTTAGAAATGAAGAGGGTAGTTATGACAAAACGCCTTCGCCAGGGAACCAGTGATGAGCGACCATGTGATGTGTGTAAGCTTGGTTTTTGGATATAATATATTTCATTTTATTTCACTAGGGCTTGAATTTTAGTCTCTAATTTTATATATTTTTAAAAAATCTTTTATTAAAGTTGTCTACATTTTTTTATACCTAAAAAAATTAAATTGAATTATGTCATATATAATTAATCAATCAATTATATGAGTACGCATGGGCATAGCTGTACTGGATGCTCACCTGCTACATGAGTTGTAATACTGAAGGCCTGGGGCCTCACTTTTTATTATTTATTTAATTATTATAATTATTATTGTTTTTATTTCTTCACTTTTTTTTAAATACAAAAATACAAAAATACAATTCAGAATCAACCAATTGTTATATACTAAAAATGAAATGAATTAAAAATAATAAGACACAATAGAGGCATAGAGTAATGGTAATAGCGCTCGTAATTGATGGATGGGGAAAGGAAAGGGACGAAACGGTTTGGGCCTTTAGTTTTCCCGAGAAGAGAATCCTCCACTCCCGCTTCCTCCTCTGCTCTCACCAATGGCTGCCGATTGGAAGCTCAAGTCCGCCGCTGTTTGGCCCACTGTCAAGCCCTTTGTTAATGGCGGTGTCTCCGGTATGCTTGCTACCTGCGTCCTTCAAGGTACTCTACTTCCATCCTTCTCTTTTTCATCTCTCTCTTAATTCCTTACGTCAAATGCCAATGCCTTCTCTTTCATTGCTGCTTCTACTCTAATGCTGTTATTTACATTTTTCTCTCTGTACGATTCTTTGTCTGTATTACTCGATTACTTGAATGGTCACCTTTGCATACTAAGTGTAGGCAGCCGCGTGCAGAGGAATATAACTTTTCTCATCAGTTTATCCTCTTTTGCTATCTCTTTCTTAGTAATAACCTATTCATATCATATTCACGTGTGCACAGTTTGTCTTTGTTCAAAACCAATTGCCGATAACTTAACCCTTATCATTGTTGGTCATTAAATGATTGGATTCCTATTAGTTGTAACATCTCTATGTTAATTTTGGCAAGGTCTCTGTGGAATAATAGGCAATTTGATAGAGGTCAAACTGTAAGTGATTAATTAGCTCTCTTGGATATGAAATTTAGTTTAATGAGAGGATCTAAATGGTTTTTTTTTTTTTTTTGTTCTGATTCCTATGCTGTTTCAGTTTTTACATATTAGATTTATGATTAGGTAGCATGTCGTATTGTGGTAACCCAGACTTTCTTTGCTGCTCCTACTCTACCCTAAGGAGTTGAACGTACTGTTCACATCTTCAGTATTACCAGCTTAGCTTATATTGCTTGAGAGGCAATAAGCTATTCAACATAAGAATTCTTCTGGAAAATTTCCGTACTCTGGTTCCTTAGATTGTGCCATGAAAACTCTCAAGGCAGGAGGGCCGTTAAAGTTTTACACTGGATTTCCCGTATACTGTGTGAGAATTGCTCCCCATATCATGGTATATCTCTGTCCGTCTGGTCTGTCTGTGCTTTGGATACCATATTTAAGATAATTAACTTAATCAAATGGTTGGATATGTTGACTTCTAACAATCGAGAGAAAATAATCGACGGAGTAACAAATGGCCGAAGAAAAACTATTGAAAGAAAAAAATAATGGAAACAAAGGGAAAGAAAATATTTACGCCTAAGACCCGATTGTAGTTTGTCATTCAATTAGCATATTTAAATAACAATATATCCTAAAAATAAAAAAGAAAATGGCTCATTAATAAGAGATCAAAATAGGAAATGGAAATGGAAATGTTTAATTAAAAAACCATGGGGTTTTATCCAACAGGATACTTGGTAGATGACTTGGATTTTCCTAAACCAGATTCAAAAGGTGGAAAAATTCTTTGGGTTTTGAAGGACTGACCAAGATGATGAATATCCCTTTCCAAGTTGATATCAGGCTTAAAAAACAAAGGTTTTTTTCCTTGTGGTTCTTTGGCCATGTGGTATTCTTACTTTCTTTGAATATCGATTTGTCGCCTTGAGTTTAAAAGCGTCTTAATTATATAGTTCTGTGCTAACATGGTTGTAAGGTGCAAGACTGATAGAGGTAGGAGGCGGGTATAGGATTGCTACTGTAATTAGAATGTACCAAATTCTCGCTGGGGAAAACCACGGAGTTCTTTAAACTATTACCCCACCAATTCTATTTTTATCGAGATATTTGAATGATATGAAATTAACGTATGGAGGATGCAGCTAATCTGCCAGTGTGAATCGTTCATGTTTGATTTAGGGTCTGCTGGTGAAAACAGACAACTGAATTGAGATTGAGAGGAGGAGTGATTTGAGTGATGGGGAGGGAGGTCCTTTTATAGGGGGATTCCCGAAATTAGTTGAGATTTTTGTGGAGATTTGTGGATGATTTTGTGGATGAATTTGAATTCACCTCCTCCTTCTCTTCCGTAACTAATTCAAATTCTATTATTAGCTATTATTAGTTTCAACACCCTCCGAATTCTGCGAAAATCAGTTTAGTACTTCATTTCATTTCCTTGATATACATCTTGGATTCTGCATATCCCCATCTTTCTTCTGAGCTTCTAGAACAATGGTTGTTTCAAGGGCTTTGTGAATAGGTCTGCGATTTGTTCATCACTTCGGCAAAAGTTGAGTTCAATAATGCCTTATTTACACAAATCACGCAAGAAATGAAATCGAACATCGATGTGCTTGCTCCTTCCATGCAACACAGGATTTTTAGACAACTTAATAGTTGACATATTATCACAATATATAATCGTCGTACTTGGTTGCTTCTGATTAAGAATTTCGAGCATTTTTCTTAACCAAATAGCTTGGCACGAGCATGCTGCTGCTGCCACAAATTCTGCTTCTGTCGTTGAGAGTGTTACAATAGGTTGCTTCTTTGAAGACCAGCAAATAGCTCCTGAACTCATCAAGAAAATACTTCCTGAAGGACTTTTATGATCGTCTATATCACCTGCATAGTCGCTATCTGTATAGCCAACTATCTTCGGATCATCTCCTTTTTTGTAGAATACCCCCAAATCAGAGGTTCCTCTCACATAACGAAGTATCCTTCTTGCTGCATTGAGATGTTTTTCCGTTGGATGCTCCATGTAACGACTTATCATACTAACCACATACATGATGTCTGGTCTTGTTGAAGTTAGGTACATCAAACTTCCCACAATTTGTTTGAAGTACCTATTATCAACCTCTCGCCCGTCAATGTCCTTGTGCAACTTTAAACCCAATTCTGATGAAGTTCCAAATGTGCGCTCATCCAATTTAAATCTTTCATGTTTTGCTACTACACAGCTCTCGCAAATTTCCGTTGGTGGAGTAATATCTGGCAACCCAGTACCATCTTTTTTGAGGACAACATCTTTAATCCTTTGAAGTGTAGATGACCATACCTAAAATGTCAAAGCCAAGTGGTATCTTCTTTTTTCACCATCAAACTTTTGGCAACGATATTTAACGTCAACGGATATAGACGGTTGGTGGTCATCTTCATCTTAGCAATCGATCCTCTTTTGGAGTCATAAATTTCACATTCATCATTTTGGAATGTGATCACAGACCCCTTTTCTTGTAACTGACCGATACTAAGTAAGTTGGCCTTCAGATCAGGAATGTAGAATACATTAGAAATAGACTCTACAAAGTCATTTCTAGTCTTGATATCTACGGTTCCTTTCCCCATCACTTGGAGAGATGAATTGTTGCCAAGAGAGACCGTAGTATGAAAATTTTCATCTAAAGTTGAGAATAATTCCTTACAACCTCATATGATTGCTGCATCCAGAGTCTACGACCCGTACACCTTGATCTGCAACCTTCATAGCATGGAATGACATTAATAATGTTTCTTCTTCTCTTCTCTCCACAAAATTGGATTGATTTCTTTTCTCCTTTTGGAGCTTGGTATAGCATTCATTTTTATAATGTCCAAGGCGTCCACATCTGTAACATTCCACCTTAGACTTGTCAAAGTGTCTCTTGCCTTTGTTGTCATAATCGTTTTTGACTAGGTCTGCTGACCTGCCAACATCTCCACTTCTTTCTCGACTGCCTCTCTCACGACCTCTGCCTCTTCTTTGCCCTCTACCTCTAGAGCTTGAAATTTCACTTGGTGTGGATATCTTTAAGGCTGTCATCTCCTCTATTGCACTTGTACGATTGAGCCTCTGCTCATGTACTAACAGGGAGCTTTGGAGTTCATCTATTTGCATTTCCTCGACATTGTTTGCTTCTTCGATAGAACATACAATGTAATCGAACTTTGGTGTTAGTGATCGCAAAATCTTTTCTACGACCGCAACATCTGTGATTGAACCACCATGCATCCTCATTTTACTTGCAAGATTTATAACCTTGCCAATATAATCATTCACTGTTTCTCCCTTTTGCATTTGGAGAATTTCAAAGTCTCTCCTAACTGCCTGTAGTTGAGCACGTTTTACTCTCGTTGAGCTTTGATACTTCCTCTTCATAGAGTCCCAAATTTCTTTGGATGTCTTCTTCTGAAGCATTGTTTCCAAGATAGTCCTATCAATGGACTGAAATAAATAGTTCTTGACCTTCAGGTCCTTCAACTTCGATGTTGCCAACAGTTGCTGTTGATCAGCTGAGAGTACCTCGCCTTCATTTGGCTCTTCATAACCTGTTTCCACCATATCAAAGAACTCCTTTGATCTGAGAAAATTTTCCATCAACATCGCCCAATGATCATAGTGACCGTCGAACCTCGGGATGGCCGGCTGAACGTAGTTCTCAACTTGTTTTTCTGCTGCCATTTTTGCTGCTGCAAGATCGCTCTGATACCAGTTGTTGGTGACAACAGAAAACTGAATTGAGATTGAGAGGAGTGATTTGAGTGATGAGGAGGGAGGTCCTTTTATAGGAGGATTCCCGGAATTGGTTGAGATTTTTGTGGAGATTTGTGGATGAATTTGAATTCACCTCCTCCTTCTCTTTCGTAACTAATTCAAATTCTATTATTAGCTATTATTAGTTTCAACATGAAATTAACTTATGGAGGATGCAGCTAATCTGCCAGTGTGAATCGTTCATGTTTGATTTAGGGTCTTAGAACTAAATGTTTCCTGATATGTTATGGGGTCTTTGTTATCATCAGCCACAGACAATCACATCAGCATTTATAAGAAAGAATATAGCTTCATTAGAAGAAATTAGGAAATGGCAGAAGATATACAATCAGAAGCAAGGAAAAGGCATAATGATGATGAGAGCGACAGAAGCAATGCGGATTGAAGTTTAAAGTTTAAAGGAAGAAGGCAAAAACAAGAGCAGAAAGAGAAGCAAAGAAGGTGGGGTAAAAGAGAGGAGCATCAGAGGCAGGAGCAGGAGCAGGAGCCTCAGACGGTGCAGCAGGTTGGGCAGTGGTGGCAGCGAAGGCCACCAGCAGCATTACGAGGAAGAGCTTCAACTTGATTGCCTCCATTGCTGAATGAATGAATGATATGTGTTAGGAGAGTTGCAGAGTTCCTTGCTATTGAGTTGAATTGAAGATGAAGGGCAATGGGGCTTGGGAATTGGGAGGGAAGAAGAGCCTATTTATGATGCAAGCTTCAACTCGAGAGACAGAGACAGAGATAGAGACAGGAACAGGGTGGTTTTGATTGGTTGCTTTACCTTACCATACGCTAACTGTTACAGCTAGCTATCTATCTGTGGGTGCGGGACCCCGTGTTTTGCTGTCTTGTTTTTGTCCTTTTTTCTTTTCCCCTCCTCGCCTATGGTTTCTGTTTTATTTACAATATCAACCCCTCATTCTTAGAATGTTTTCTCGAAGTTGGTTTGGAATTTGGCTGTTATATCACCTTTTAAAATCGACTTCTCTCTCTCTCTCTTTTTTTTTTTTTTTTTTTTTGACCAAAGGAAATGTATTTGCCTTGGTTTTTTACTTTTAACATTAAATTCCTCATGAACCAAATTCATTAGAGGACTTGTAACTATCATGCATATAATACCATGCCAGGTCAGTTTATGGGACAATTGGAAGTATAATGTGCAATTCTTCAATATTTAATATATTTTAAATGAATTTTTTTAACATATTAAATTTTTAAATACATAGGTTACAGGTTTATAGTTTTGATTACTTATTTTTTTATTATTAAAATCTTAGATCTAAACAATCCTATAAATACCTTGATCACAAAAGAATTTTACCCAACATTATCCATCTTCTCCTCTCTACTCTCTTTTCAAGAACAATTAGCTCAACTTTTAGTATAGAGTAGTTTGAGTAACACATTTCAGTTTAATACCTCATTATTTACGTGTTTCTTTTTCAATATTTATTCCCAATTTCTTTATTATTTGTAATTGTTCCAACAATCTTGATTCTAACTATTAGAACGAGCCATATGCACTCTTCATTTTTTGAGAACGCTGAAGATGAAAATCGAGCATAATCTTTAGTGTTGGATGAACAACATAGATCTAAACGGTACTCAAACCATTTCTTTTATTGCTGTTCACGAGTCACCGAATTTCATAACCTTAAACAACAAATATCAACGTTTCTGCACTCCTTTCTTTATGAACCAAAAAAAGAAAAGAAAAACAAAAAGGCTTTGTTGCATCAAAAGCATCACACTTCATCCATTGAGGACTAAACAAGATTATTAAAGAAAGACCCAAAACTTCACACTATAGAAAGCTCATATTTTTACAAAGGAGAGGAAAGTGGTAGCCTTCATGGGCAGTTTTGGTTTCTGCTAGGGCCTCCATAGTAAAAGTAATGGCCCCAATCCCCACTGTATCCGGTTTGGACACCATAGCAGTTGGATTTGTGTGTAAAAGTACTAATCCCTTTGAGAGCTTTGAGATTGTTAGAGCTGTCAACAACTTGAATGTCCCTAAAATAACTTGCCTTCCCAAATCCCTCTTCAGGAAAATGACCACTGCCCATCTGGGTTAAGGTGTGCAGTCCACCAGCCTCTGAATTCACAACCTCCCCTCCCCACTCAATCATGGAGGCACTGTTAGCCAGGTACAAGAATAAGAAAGACGGCCAATATCCCAACACATACTCATTGTGTGAATGTTTGATTAATCCACCACACCTAAATGGTGTGAAAGTTACCTTATTTATAATCAAATAAATTACAATGATATGGAAATAGTAATAAATGAAAATAACGATACCTATGATAATAAGATAAATATTAGATATTTGCCTTATAATAAAATATCAAATATAATATATATGGTAAACTATAATTTATTATTAAATATCCTTAACACCCCACCGCAAGCTAAGCGTCGGATTTAAACGAACGTGAAGCTTGAATCTGAAAAATTCAACGAGGTTGAGAAACACTTTTCATGAAGATGCTAACAACTCGGTTCTTGGCCATCAAAAATTGCAGAGGGATCGCCGCTCAGCGGCGATGCTGCCTTGGCTTCGGCGAGAATATGTCTAACCCATGAAGAGGGATTGTCGCTTAGCGACGATGCTGCCTTGGCTCTGGTGAGAATATTTCTAACCCCAAGAAGTAGAAGGGGAAACCTAGAGCAAGGGACAAAGACAATGTTGAAGCCGGAAGAGTCGCCACATTGGGCGAAGGAGCCAATTTTGGCGAGAAGGGCAGTCGGAAGAGTCGCCTCATCGGGCGAAGAAGCCAATTTTGGCAGGAAGGGCGGCGGCAACTTGGTTGGCGAATAGGCTAGTGCGGCACCCAGATTCCGAAGGTAAATCTCTACAAAAGGTTGATAGGTTTAGGTTAGGGTTTATGTGAAGGATGAAGGTTGATTGGGAAGAAAATGAGAGAGACTATATTGGCCAAAGGGAAAACCGATTGGGTTGGATGGATGGAAAAGGTGAGGTTGTATGTACAGAGTATGACGAAAGGTGATTTAGAGGTCAATAGGGTGGAGCCGAAGAGTAATCAATCGGCTCCGACTACGACAGCCATGAAGACTGCCCCTGCGGCGTCAAAGCAGCAGGGGTGGTGGAGAAGAATATTAGAGGATTCAAAAGCCATTGAAAAGAAACGGAGAGGGCTCTAATACCATGTGAATGTTTGATTAATCCACCACACCTAAATGGTGTGAAAGTTACCTTATTTATAATCAAATAAATTACAATGATATGGAAATAGTAATAAATGAAAATAACGATACCTATGATAATAAGATAAATATTAGATATTTGCCTTATAATAAAATAT